ATAATACTAAATTGAAACCAAAATTTTCCAAAATTTATCAAAAAAAAAACAAACCCTCATGTCTGATTTAAATTTTTAATGTAAAAATATAAATAAAATAATATTTGTTCACCATAATTTATCAAATAAAACACACCTTTTAATATAAAAAATATGATAATTGGAGTCAACCATCCATTAGCGGGGAATGCGGTGGACCATAAATGGGTGAAATAGTCAAACTTTTGATTTGCTTATTGGGGTGTCTTTTCTCAAATTTTTAGTATCTACTTTATTCATTTTCAAGCTTACACTTATTTTTATTATTTGTATTTTACATTTTCTAATATATATTATCAAATTAAATAATATTTTAACTAAAGAAAAAAAAAAATCAAACCTTGGAATCCAATACAAATTGAAAAAAAAAAAAAAAAAAAAAAAACATATTTATTTTTTATAAAATTATATTTAATATTATTTACTCAAAATATTATACTCCTCCGTTCCATTAAAAGGTTGTCATTTTTCATTTTTTTTCATCTCAAAACAAGGTTATCATTTCTTAATTTAGTAATTATACTATTTACCTAATATAATAAATACCCTTCTAATTTACAATATATTACACAAATGTCATTACTTTTATATTACACTATACTAATAGAGATTTGTCTTTTTTACTACAATTTAATATAATACTAATATTCAAAAATTTACGTGCAAAAAAGCAGACGCCACTCTTTATTTTGATTTTAAATTTAAAATACTAGTTTCATTTCAAAATGGAATATCGTATCTTGTGTGGATTGTTTACCCTTTAGAAAATTCTTCTCCATTAGTAAAAACAAGAAAAACAAACCAAAACACTTTGCCAAATAATTAAAAATTAACGTTATTCAAATAATAATAATAATAATAATAATGTTATTCAAATTGCCAATATCCGTCAAATTTGATTGAATAAGCGTATTTTAACTAAATTAAGATAATGAGCTTACCTAGAGCAGTTTGACTTGTGGGTGTGTTTGTTTGGATTTTAAGTTGGGATTTGAATAATAAAAATTTTGAATTTGAATAGTTGTATGATGTGATATAAATAGGTGTTGATGTGATGTTTTGAATGTAAAATTGATTTTTAGTATAATATAAAAAATGAAAAATAGGTGTTTGATTTGATGTTTTTGAGAAAAAAAAATATGATAGAATAGTGGATTTTGAAATCCAATCCCCCAAACAAACACACCCAAAATATAATAGTAGCTTGAAATGAGGGTTTGTTCATTGTGTTTTCAAGGGTGTGTTTTGATGGGTTTCGATTCTGAGTTGAGATTTAAATAATAAGAATTATGAATTGGAATAATTGTATGATGTGATATAAATATGTGTTATGTGATGTTTTAAATATAAAATTAATTTTTAGTATAATATAAAAAATAAAAAATAAATATTTGATTTGATGTTTTTGAAAAAAAAATAATAATAAATAGTAAAAATTGGTTTAAGTTTTTGAAACGAAGACACCCTTAAGTATTTATTTTTTGTATTAGATATAGAGATTTGTATCAGTATTATAAAAAATACTTTCCAAAACTATTGTACTAATAGAGAAAGCCAAACTTTAACTCAATTCAAATAATAATTCATACTATGCATAGTTGCTAAATTGAGTAACAATAATTTATTCTATTTTTTATCTTTAGAAAACTTTTTTTTTTTTTTCGATAAGTGATCCTCTTATCATTTTATTATATTCCGTAAGTAAATATTTTTAGTATAATTGGTCATCTGGCCCAAAAACGTGTCACGTGCGCATCTCCGTTGGTAGATGACCAATTGTGTCAAAAAATTCATTTAACGGGACGATTTACATTTGTAAACTAAAATAATAAAAAATCAATTACAAAACTTGAAAAATAGTTCTCTCTCTTTTTCTTATTATTCATATTTTCTTGATTTGATCACATCGACACTCTAACCACCGGACCCACAACACGGGTTTATATATTATATTGAAATTAATGATATATTATGTTATATTGAATTATATCATATATTGTATATTGTATTATCATGATGATAATTAACATATACCGTTTGATTTGATTAAATGTATTAACTTGTCAAATTAGTGCAGAAACTTTTTTAGTTAATGTTCTAATTTGATGCTGATTCGACACTGTCAATATAGAAACAATTTGATTTGTAATTTAAGACATTTCGAATATTTTACAATATTTTTTTATTATATTACTTTTTCTTTTTTAATCATTTGAATATAATTTATAAAACCATTTAGTAAAGACTGATCAATAGTTTTTCTTTTAATAATTATACTAATAAATAACAATACTATCTCTGTCCCATTAAAATGTTACTATTTTTCATTTTCGTTCGTTCCAAAACAAGGTTATTATTTTCTAATTTAGTAATTATACTATCTACTTAACATAATAAATATCCTTTCAACTTACAATATATTACATAAATGTCATTATTTTTATATTACACCATACTAATAGGGTATTTTTGTCATTTTTACTACAATCCAATATAATACTGATATTAAAAAATCTACGTGCAAAAAGCAAATGTCACTCTTCTAATGGGACAGAGAGAATATAAAAAATAAAACTAGCAATAAACCAAGACAAAAGGAGTATTATTAATTTTATATATATATATATATATATGTGTGTGTGTCTAGAAGGTATAAGTGTGCATGATTTTGAAGTTATCTAAATATGATTATCATATAATCATCAGTCAAAACCTAAAATTGCTGAGTCAAAGAAAGCCAACCATCAAACATATTCAATACTACTTTTTGTTGGAGGATTAGATTTTAAATCCATTATTCATCCTATTTTTTCTCCCTAAAAATATCAAATCAAATATTTATTTTTTATTTTTTATATTATATTAAAAATCAATTTTACATTCAAAATATCACATCATACAACTATTCAAATTCAAAAGTTTTACTATTCAAATCCCAACTCAAAATCCAAACTTCCAAACAAACACACCCTTAATTTCATCCCACAAGGAGTTGTATAGATAAGTCAAATACAAGTATATATACATATATTTAAATTTTGTTTTCTTTAACACAATTGTGTGGTGTGTTCACTATTTGTTTTTTGATGAACATATTTTTTTTTATGTTAAGAGTATGCAAATTGTACGAGTAATATAAAAAAATAAAAATTAATATTTTATATTAAATTGTTGATTTTTTTAGATGAATAGAATATATATATATATATTATATATTGTGTTGATACATATTGTATTTTTTAAAATATTTATGGAAAATCATATCACAATCCCTTAAAGTTATGTTTTATAGGATGTGTTTCTTTAAAATTTCTACACAATAGTAGAAATATTTTATATGGGAGAAATAGTAGAAATATATTTATTAAGAAATATGGATAAAATATTTTGTTAGTAAATTAATGTAAGTATAAATGAACAAATTCTATGATTTTATAGAACAATATATTATTATTATTACTTTATTATTTTTGTAAAAATCATATTTAAATCACTATTAAAATAATCTTATAAAATAGTCGTTGACTATACATACATAACAAGGTGACGAGTGACCACACCAAATCCACTAATTAACCTGGAATTACATCATTTTATTAGATTAATAATTTATATTCTTGTTTTTTTTTTTTTTTTTTTTTTTTATGGGTAGGATCGGACGCCAACATGTAGGGGTGGTCATTTGGGCCGGCCTGACCCGATTCTAAACTGTTGGGCCAGTATGAACCAATTCCAATAATTTTCAAGTTTATGTTTTTTAGACTCAAACATATTTTTTTTGTACCGTGCCCGACCAAGCTTTCTAACCTTGCTCATTTTTTGTCAACCCTACCAACATGTAGAGCCGAAAATGGATCATGTCATGTTGGGTTCGAATCGGATTGGTTTTTTAAACTGATCAAAATATCCAACTTGTTTCTTTTAAACGAGTAAGAAGACTCAACCCGTCCAAACCTATTTAACCTGACAACGACCCATTAATCTATTTAATAATTTTTAAAAATTGGTTAGATAACTCGAAATCGACTCGATTAATAAAAAATCGACTTGTTTTATTCCACATCGAGTTTATGTTGAATTGTACAAGTTTTTGTAACCTCACATAGCCATCTCATTCAAGCACCATGGTTAATTAATTAAAGAAGGCATGCATTGGTGCGTTGTTTTAATATTTCAAATCAAAATAAATATTATTATTGACTATCTATAATTTTTTAAAATATTATTTAAACAAAAACTCACAGTAATACTCTATTTAAAATAAATTTCAACTATATCATGAATGGGAACTCTTCCTTTCATATATTTTGCATTCAATAACATGTAGGCTGTACATTCGGTCGATTTGAACCGAACCGAACTTTTAATTTTGATGATTTTCAAATTATAAAATTGAAATAAAGATCGAACCCAAGTTTTTCAAAACCAAATAAACCAAACAAAACTAGTTCAATTCGATTTAAAACCGAAAAATCCTAACTTCTATTTATTAATATACATTTTACATATACAATCAAATATAAATACTCAAAATTATAATATATATTATTTAATAATATATAATTTTTTTATTATTTTTAAAAATTCAATTTAAAATTAAAAATTGAAAACCATAACCGAACCGAAATCAAAATTATAAATTCGATTTTGTACCGAACCAAACCAATTAATCGAACAGTCCAAACCGAAAAACAAAATTAGATTTTTTCGATTTGGACCGACCGATGCTCACCCCCCTTGTAACATGATTATGGGTTAGGCTACTCTCTCTAGTCATTCTTCTGAGTATAAATCCAGTTATCGCCATTCCCATCCATTGTACTCAACTCAACCCTAATTCAACCTTTTCCTAAACTGCCTCAGTAGGGGAAGTGAACATCCATGGCCATTAAACTGTCCCCAACATATTACTAATAAAATCAGATGAACACACAAAGAAAACGCAAGATAAGACGATACAATTTACGAATGGCAATTGAATGGTAACTCAATTTGATATAACACCCATCTTAATATCAATCAGCTCCAACTAAGATGAAACTAAAATCACACAACACAAGCATCTTGCAAATTTAAGCCATACAATCAAAAACTATAATATATATGCATATATAGATATATGTGTTTGTGTATAATATAAACAGCTCTGTTGTACTTCATGAGTTGAAAATGGAGGAACGTAGCTGTATGGTGTGATAGCTCAACTGAACTCTTTGCTACCAAAGCATTTACAAGATGGTACAGCATTGGTTTGTTTTCTTTGCCTGCTTGTAAAACATCTGTTCCAATTTACAAAAACTAGAAATATCAGAAGACTTGATATCATCATGAACAGCATTGGCGTTATATTATAGTAGGCTCGGGTTAGAATAGCTTCTGCAGCACACTTTTACTCCTACTTTTTTACGGTTCAATCAACACAACAATTTATAAATAGGAGTTCAAATGAATAACTTTGGCTCAAGTCAAGGATTTAGCATAATGCTTTATCACAATTTTGATTTACTTCGAGAGAGATCAAATTTGGCAACAGGGTATTTTCATGCTCAGGTTGTTATCAAGTTAAACATCTAACTTAAGCCCTGTTTGCCTCCAATCAAGCTTGAATACGCTTGAGTCGACAGAAAACTTATTTGAGCACTTAAATTTTGAAAACATTCAAAGCATGCTAGAGGGCACATGTTATTATATTCAGAAGGCAGCAAACATGTGCTACAAACATTTTTCGAAGAGACTTTTCGCCCTTAATGAACTTGCTTTAATAGATAAGAAGCATGTTACAAATATGAACTGTAGAACTAAATGGAAAACAAACCTGAGAAGCGGCACTGAGATCAGAACTTTTCTCAACCAAACTGTCTAGCTTCTCACCTCTTTCTAGGACACTGTCTATAGTCTTGTGCTGGAACAATGAGCAAAAGGGCATAACATATTAAAATTAAGTTTTAAAAAGAATACAAAAATATGCATGAGATAGGCAAATGTAACAAATCAAGCACTTCTTAACTACACCAAGAACATTCCTAGTGAAGCATGTATCATAACTATAAAATAAATTAAGGGTGTGTTTGTTTGGGGGATTGGATTGGATTTACACTATTCATCCAATTTTTTCTCCCCAAAAACATCAAATCAAACCCCTATTTTTCATTTTTTATATTATACTAAAAATCAATTTTACATTCAAAATATCAAATCAACACCTATTTATATCACATCATACAACTATTCAAATTCAAAATTTTTACTATTCAAATCCCAACTCAAAATCCAAACCCCCAAACAAACACACCCTAAATATACTACGCAATTACTAACTTTTGAAAAATTATGCACAAAATTTACATATTAACAAGAAAATTAAATGTTTTCAACATACTATAATCCCAAAAAAAAATGAAATAACAAATAGCTGTGCCGTAAAAAGTACCTATAATTGGAGAAATTAATAAAAAAGAAACTGAAACAACCATTCTGAAAGAAGGTGGAGGAAGAAAAGGAAAGAACATGAATAAAAAGAAGCCAATATAGAACTGTGGGAATGGTGACAAAATAAAAATAAAAGTCAAGAGGTAGACAAGAAATGGTGAGCTAGCAAATAATAATAGTAAAAGATTTCTGCCATTTGTTTCATATTAGAAAACCAACAGAAAGAATTACATCTAAAAAATGGTGAGCCATGTAATTGGACAAAAGGGACTGAATGGCCGTTTCATATAGTATTAACATTTCTATAAATAAGTAGTTTGTTTAACAAGATTGTGATTTAAATGATTGCTATATCATTTTCTTATAAAGATATAAAGTATCTCAATGTGTATTTAAATATATAAAATAAGTAAAACAAGCCAAGTATATATTTATTGTTCTTTTACTATTAATTAATGAAAGGCTAGAAATTATACCCCATATACCTTAAAAGAAGCATAAGGCATCCATTTCTTTATCTTATTTATTTTTTAAATACACTAAATTCAGTGCAAACAATATATATTATATGTTCAGTTACTAAGCATAACTTGAGGAATTAGAAAATGCTTATACTCCCTCTGTCTCTTAACAACGTATCCATTTGATTTTTGCACTTAACATTAAAAATATTTTTACATTTCTATAATATATTATATAAATATCGTTACATTTATATTACACAATACTAATAAAGGTATTTTTTTTTCTCTTGATTTGTACCACGTATTAATATAGTATTAATATTCAAAGATCTATATACAAAAAACAAATTTATAAGCTGTTATGAGACGGAGGTAGTATAACTTTTTCAAGGGTTTTTTGATAAAATATGAATATAATATTGGAAAATGATAACAAGTCAATTTGAGTTGAAGTATTTTCGTTAGGACCAACGATATTTTATAACTCAACATATAGTTTCCAACACTAAGTTTTTCCTTGCAAACGGACCTTACAGCTGACTACCGCTATGTCAGTCAAAATTCCAATTTTCAAAACTGGAATATGAAGACAATACCAATGGCTTGTAGTGACATGTTTATTACTGTTCAGCACTTCTCATCATTCAATCACAGCTAATCGTTTTGGATAACTAAGCCCTAAAAAGAAGGAAATAATAGTATGATACAACAACCCTTCCCCATTCTTTTTAAATACTACTTTTGAAAATTGGTGTTTCAACTTCCAAAGGACCATGATTAGTTAGTTATATGATCCCATTCTAAACACAAGATAGATAAGTGATTAAAAGATCGGAGAAACTCGATTGCACCCCTTTTGTTTAAAAAAGAAAAAAGTCAACACAGGTCCAGTATACTTAAACTGACATTACTTATCAGAATTCAAAAGCAGTAATATCATACCCTTAGTTCAGATGAAATGTGGCAGCTAAAACCTGGATCAATATTCATGCACACAACAATTTGGAAAACCGCAGAGACATAATTCAAACAGCTTATAGATATTATAAATTTATTTCAGCTTAAAGTAGTAGAAAATCAAGCACGAGACTTTTTTATTATTATTCAAACTTGATTTGTTTACAATTTAGATATTTGGCTTGATCACATGCTGACTATCTGTAATTAACACAGAATACAGTCACCATCATTACTTTCACTAATTTAAGGAAAGACAATGATAGTAAGAGAGACCAATATGGAATTAGTTTTAGATTTTATTTAGTTAGCAAAAAACAATAGCGGTAAAGCATTCAGCATATTTTATTACATGCAGCATTTGTCATTAACAGCCAGAATGTATGCATGCATAAGATACATATATCTATATATATATTATAATTCAACGGAATTTGTATACCTTTCAAATGATTATGAGTACTTGATATGCTTTATGGGAATAGATCTTGTACTGAGAATCAATTTTTCTCTTTGTGTAATGAATTCGATTCAACTGTTAATTCTTTGAATTTTTATTTTATCTTTAATAATGTAAGAAGATAGGAAAGAAATAGTGCAATTTCAGAAATTTTTGGTTGAATACCATTAAACTAGTTAATATATACCCGACAACCCCACCTCTTTTGGGTTTGTTTACTTGAGGTGTTTTTTGTACTTTTGATTTTGTTGTTACTTAAGGGAAAATTAGGAGGTTGAATAGTAAAAACTAGGTGGGAAAAAGATGCACAAGTACCAAACCTTTGATTCCAGGGGAAAGGATTTAGTTCTACTTTTGTCACTTCCAAAGAAATAAGCGAAGAAAATCCAATTCACTTTAGGGTACTGAATCTCCAGTTCATTCAGCTTTGATGCAACTTACACTTAAGGGGGGCACCATATAATATGCTATAATCAGGATGTGATCATCTACTGATTCGACAAGTGCGCTCATAGCAAACACTAAACAAAATTGAAGCAATAAAATCGAAAATAGAACATCAAACCTCCATAAAGCTATGAGCAAACCAGTAAGGGAAAACTTAAAGCTGGTGGTGCTATAAGCCTTCATGTTTTTCATGAAATTAGAAAATATGAAAATTGATCTTGAAAACCAGTTCATGTATATCCCGGCAATAGTTGAATGCAAAATGGTTGATAAGATTGGAAGCAGCTATGGAAATGGAAGAGGAAAAAATACTTACAAGAATAATTTTAGTCTCGTCCAGCTCCCGCTGAACTCTCAACAGCTTGTCAGCCTCAGCAGGGTCCTAAAAAGCAGTATGACAAAACAGATCAGAGTGCTTAATGAGGAAGCTACTATAAGTAATCCCCAGCAATATGCATTCATATTCCTTATACAGGGAATAAAGTACCTGAAATTTCGTTACTGCCTCGCTTAGATAGGGCCATTGTTCAGTAGTATCAGCTTGCACAGTTTTCCATGAATCACCGAAGTTCTTCTGATATTCATCCAAGACCTGCCAAATAATCACATTTATTGGAACCTGACATCATCAACCACCTAATAAATACATATATAGCGTATGACGGCCTACCTGGTTAAGCAATGAAAATGCACTTCGGACAGGATAGTTGTCATCCATAAAACCCAATGCACACAAACCATTTCGGTTGTATGAATGAACCTTGTATTCTGATTAACAAAATCACCAAAGAGGGCTGTCAGTTTGTTTGAAAATTCAACTAATAACCTAGTAGAAATATTTGATGTGGGATAAACATGAAATGAAGTTTTCCAAGAACATAGGCTTGCATCATTGTGTTAATCATCCATCTCAAGTAAATGTTCTCAAAGTTACATGTGAACTTGATCTTAGACTACCGAATACCTAGAGAACTTGTCACTACTAGCAGAGTTTGATTACAATTTTGGCTTCAAATACTCGATCACAATTTCACCATTACCAGAGTCTGAGAACCTAAAAACTATCACGACTCTCCTATTGGCCAGTTGTAGACTATATGTTCTTATTTCCTTGTAAATCCATGGTGGATTATCCCCCTATCAAATAACCAGCGGCAAAAATATAAATGCAATAGAAATGTTGAGGCAATTGCACCCGTACTGCTCAGAATTGCCATGGTTGCTAAGTTATCATCGTAACCATTATAGCTTGAATGACAGTTTTTTCGTAGTGTAATTACACTTACACTCTTATTTGAAACAGCACTAAGACCTACATATTTCAACTACATGAATGGCTATCACCAATTATCAACAACACATTGGAATAAACAATTTTGCACTAAATCATGTACCGTCTGAATTCAAGGCACGGATCAGTTAAAGTCTTACCAATGTTAAGAACAAGTAAAAAAAAAAAAAAAAAACAAGATAACCATCTCATTCTAGCTTAATGCAGCAATAACAGCTGTTAGTCTGTAAATACGAAGTTCGCAATGTACTCAATGTAGTAAATATAATGTAAATAGGCCTCTAAAACAATCAGCCACTATCCTCTTTATTGTCTACATGAATCTATATCCTAATTTCCAAATCAGGTTTAATCTTAGCTTCTTATTTATTGAAAAAAGGGCCCGTGCGTCCGCACACACGCATATAGACAAACAACCTCCTTTTCAGGTGTCAGCAGCAGGGCAATTCAATGTCCATCCTATCCAAAACGAAAAAAAATAAAACATATTCCTAATCCACTAATGATCCTTCAGTCCATCAGTTGTTGAGTTATAATTAAAAACATCTGATTTCACATATTAAAATATACATAGCCCACAACACCACCACAATACACCCATAACATAAACAAAAACAAGGGCACCATTACTATGTTTTCGACAAAATCAGAGTAAGACAAAAGATCGTGAAAGTGAAATTCACTCAAATAAAGAGATAATAGGACTACAAATATCTCCATGAAAACTGAAAAACATCAACAAACGAAGCTCCAACAATCAAACCCCACCAGAACAGTGCGAAGATAAACACAATGAGCAGACATAATAAACGTATGACTTACAGAAAACAACTTACCCATTCAAAACCCTAATCGAAACATGAAAACAACGGAGACACCCAAAATTCGCCGCACATCAAACAATTAAACCGAGCAGAAGTAAACCTAAAACAAGCAAAGAAAAAAAAAGGCTCAAAGAATTACAGATGATCAGACCTTCATGCTGCACCGACTGCCGTTGATTAGGCGGCGTCCGTTTGGCTACGGTCCGACCCACGAAAACAATGAACTCCCTGACGCTGGGGCGTTGAAAAAACCCGAAGCTGCTTAGATCCGACGCGTTCGATAATATAACGGGATCCGAGCCTTCCGGGGAGCATTTCAGCACCAGCAACGCCGTGATCTTCACCATCCTCCCAATCCACGACAATAAAAACTGCAGGGGAGTCCGATAGGATCCTTTCCTCAAGACAGAACAAATCTTCCAAACTTTCTGATCAAGAAACGCCAAAATCCCTGAAATGGATGGAACTTTGGAGCATCTGTCGAATCGGAATCACTTTTATATCGTAATGGATTTGCAGATCAGGCGCTTTGTGGGATTCCTCTGTCTCTACATTCAAAATGGGGATATGTAGACTTGCCCATTCGGTTTCGAACCGTCGGTTCGAACCGCCGGTTCGACGGTTTATGAACCGAAGGTTACGGTTCGAACCGAAACCGGACACAAACCAAACCCGAACCGTCGGGATTTTTTCAAACCCGCAAACCGCCGGTTGGTTTCTTTTTATTATTATTATATAATTATATATATATTTGAATTATTTTATTATCTATTACAATATTTTTATAATTTAATTATTTACTATATTTATTATTTTAATTATTTTTATATTGTAAAAATTAAATTAATTATTTATATATATGATTTTTATATAATAAATAAATAATAAATATATCTAAATAAAATTAAAATAAACTTAATTATTTTTAAATAAAATTCAAATTTTTAGAAAAATAGAAAATAAAAAAGGAAAATATTAAAAATGAGTATATATAAACCGACAGTTCAAACCGTAATCGACAATTTATAAACCGTAATCGAAAGCGTCGAACCGTAATCGAAATCGTCATTCGGAACATTCGATTTCAATTTGATATTTTGACAAACTGTAACCGGCGGTTTGAATCGTTTGGGCAAGTCTAGGGATATGTGGAAAACATATGTAATTAATGAAATTTAGAGGGCTTCTTGTAAATTATCACACACAATGGTCCTCGTAACAAAAAAAAAAAACGTCAATATACCGATGTGTACTGTTGTCCGATTTGAGCTGAGTCCGCACGGATTTATTTTTACTTTTGACATAAGACACATTCGCAAGCCCCCACTTCACCATCGAAGCGGCTCTGATACCACTCGTGGACTGGTCAGCTCAACACTAGTATGATATTGTCCGCTTTGAGCTAAGCCCGCACGGATGTGTTTTTAGACTTTCTCCAAAATGTCTCGTACTAGTGGAGTTGATTTAGGACTTATAAAGTGTGAAATTTTCTTTACAACTTTCAATGTGGGACTTGAGTTTGCACCCCAACAGTGCGTTCATCTCAGTCAGTGGCTCAATTAGCTCGGTTGCGACGGCGGAGAAAGCTTTATCTTTTATATCCAGTTAAATCTTGGAGGAGATTAAGAGTAGTGAGTTCGTAAAGAATTGAAGTCGGGGCTGGTATGCAATTTGGATTCTTTTTCTGTTAGTGTCAGTGTTAGTGTTTGTTGATGAATGTACCGGTGTGAATTTATAAAAGTGAATGAGTGAAAACAATCTGAAGAAAAAAATCTTTTTTTTTTCCGCAAATTTCTCACATTCGCTATCTATGCTCCCCAATTCCGTCTCGTATTTTTCCTGGCCGGTAGCCTCCGAATTCTCAATTCAACTAACTAAGCGGTAATATTTTTTAACATTATTTATGTTTGATTAAGATTTTTTGCTATTGAGAATTGTATTTTTATAAACTTTGTTTGATATTTTTGGATTTTTTCAGATGTTACTGGGGCTAATCCAAATACACTTACATATCTCATGTGTTTTACCTTTAAATTATATAGTGTGAAATCAAACCCTTTTAGATTCAAGTGATGAGACATTCTTCGTTTAAGGGTTGGGTTTCAGGTTTGATCTTGGGTGGGTGCGTGTATGCATGTGTTGGGTGAAATTTCCGTTGGGGATGTGAGTGTGTGCCAGAGTGTGAGACAATTATTTTCTCCATTTTTGTTGCAAGGATGCTTTAATTTAAGAATTCGGATTTTAGCTTTTATTATATATTGGTATTGTTGGGCATTGTTAGCAAATTTTTTTCAATCCTATTATATATATATATATACTTCCTCCGTCCGACTCTAAGGGTCACATTTATATTTTACATCATTGTATTTAACATTAAAAATATTTTTATATTTATATAATTTTTTGTACAAATGTCTTTCTATTGGTATCATAAGACACTAATAGATGTATTTTTATAAAAAAATTTAATTTGTACTACGTTTTGATATAATAATTAATATTCAAAGATCAAGACGCAAAAAATAAATGAAAATCTTAGAGCCGGATGAAGAAAGTATATATATATATGTGTGTGTGTGTATGTGATGGTGATTGTTGAGACAACTTTGAAATTTAGGTTCTTGGTATTGTTTGATCTTGATACACATAATGTAATATCATCATTGTTGATGATTTTGATCAAGTTGAGATGATTGTCGTGAAGATAGACATTATATGGTATAGTACTTATGTCATCCATAACGTCAAACATGAATTCCAATCTATCGCATATCAATCCAATTCAAAATCATCTCAATTACTTTGGGTTGAACTCATATTGCCCTTTCAATTTGATGAACCTATTGACATTTTTTATTTCTACAAGAACTTTATGTAATGGAGCTAAGTACCGAAGGAGGATTCCCTTGGAATCAAGTTAGTCGTGCCAATGTATGTGATCTATTGTTCCGTTGTTCAGAAGTTGCACCTTCAGTCTTGGATTATAATTATTTTCGCTTCCGTGGTGCTTTGAAAGGAAGACGTTATTACAAAAAAAAAAAAATATGTCTCATCGGATTAGGAATGATTATCCAAATTAGTTTTCTTCAACTTTATTGGAGAAAAAAAAAAAAAGAAAATCATTGAATTACCTCCACATGAGGTGGAACATATACTTACTTTTAGGTATAAATGTTTAAGCCCAAGTTATGGTTAAAATGTAAAGATATGTAAAGTACTTTGATGTTTGAATGTTTAATAGATCCGTTTATCATTTTTTTTTTATGACATGAAAATCCGCAGCCGCTACTCGAGAGTGCGCATTGGGTAAACCCCGACCGAACCTAAGATACCCTCTTCGAGTTATACTATGTTGTTTATGTTAAAATGACGCAATCCACAACTTACAAATCATATATTTAGTCAAAACTCATTATTTTTTATACTAATATTTAGTTTGGGGGCTAGATAGCTGCTCCACTCCCATCTAATTATGTCTCTGACTGTATACAATATAATAGGTTTTAGTTTTGGGTTTTGATTTTAAATAGTAAAATTTTGAATTGAAATAGTTGTTTGACGTGATATAAATATGTGTTGATGTGATGTTTTGAATGTAAAATTAGATTTTAGTGTAGTAAAATAAATAAAAATTGGGTGTTTGATTTGATGTTTTTGGAGAAAAAAAAATTGGAACAGTAGGTGTAAAACCTGACAAATAAACACACCCATTAATTTTTTCCGGTTTGAAAATGTATATTTTTTTTGTTTTGTGTGTGAAGTCTATTTAATAATAATAATAGGTAAAATAGTATGAAGATAATTTTGTTATATATAAAAAAATAAAAAAATAAATAAATAAATGAGTATTTTTAAGATGATTACTTTATAATTAGATAATTTAAAATAAAAATATATAGGAAGTACAATTTAATTTAATTTAATTGATTAAATTGTAATAATGTTAAAATATTATATTATATTTACATTATATATTGTATATATTATTATTATTATTTTTACAGATATATATATACATATTAAGTTTGTTTGTTGTAGGTTACAAATTTAAAAATATTACTTTTCAATGGGTACTATTTTCAATTAAAAAAAAAATACATTATACAAAAAATAATATTTTATATGTTTAGAATATAGCCATTGTGTTTTTATATTAATCATGACAGATAAGAAATATAGGGTGCGTTTCTCTGTGGATTTTAGATTAAATAGTAAAAAATTGAATTTGAATAGTTGTTTGATGCTATATTTGATAAGATGTTTTGAATTGTAATAAAAGATAATAATTGTTTAATGAAATATTTTTGGAGAAAAAAAAATATAACTTGGGTTAAAATCCACAAAAAAGAACACAACCATAGAGATTCTTATAAGAATTAGATAATTTGGACAATTTTTTTATCTCCTAATTTATGAATAATAATAATAAGACAAATTTGTCATTAACTCATCGTGATTTCGAAACTCAACTTAAATTTTGTATTTAAAAAATTTAATAAGCATTCCAAGCCCGCTATGCAAATTGATAGAAAATCATTTTCTAACGTTTTTTTTTTTAAATATAAGAAAACCGTGATGCAATTTTTTTATATAATAAAAATTATAATTATTTTTTATATAATAAAAATTATAGTTACGTTTTTTTATTTAGTTGTTGCACAAATAGGTGTCATTATTATATATTGTCATGTGTCAATTGATGACTAAATGTTGTAAAACCCCTAAAATGGTATATATATATATATATCTTCACATAGAAATAGTATAATTAGTACAAACTTAAAAATAAATTAGTAAAAATAATTATCATGTAATAAAAGTAATTATAATTTCAAATGAAATTAAAAATAATTTTTTCTATAAAAAAAATGACCGGCAGACACAATAAATGAGACATGAGAAATATTATTTTGCAAAATTTAAATTTAACCCCCACTCTTTTATAATCTTTCCGACACTGCATTTATCTTTTGCTTCATTATAAATATTTTTATATTTATATAATATTTTATACAAATATTAATTTTATATTACAAAATATTTTTATTTTTTTCTTTTCATTCGTTCTACCTATGGAAAAAAGACTAAGGGTGTGTTTGTTTGAAGGATTTTCTCCAAACTTTAGTATTTATTTCATTCTCCCTCCCAAAAATATTAAATCAAACACATATTTTTTATTTTTTATATTATACTAAAAATTAATTTTACATTCAAAACATCACATCAACACCCATTTAGATCAAAGTCTGTTCAAAATTTTTACTATTCATATCTCAATCCAAAATCCAAACAAACACGCCCTTAAAAGAAAAAGAAATAGTCACGATCATATCAATTAGTTAATCAGTGCCTAAAGTAAACTGTTGGTAAATCTAGCCAAAACAAAAGTTAACTGTAGGTAAATCTAGCCAACACAAACATGTCATATCAGATACAAACAACACAATTGGACAAAATTTACCCTCTTGACAAAGAAAAGTTTAGAACGATGAAAAGAAGTCTAAAAAGAAGTCGAAATAGTCACACGATCATCTCTGACTAGTTAATCAGTGCCTGAAGTGCCTCACATTGGTAAAAATAAGCGAGACCCCGTACCTATTACAGCAATCAATTGCGTCCGCATCCCTTATGCTCCCACCGGGCTCGACAATAGTGCTAATCCCACTTTTACAGGCCTCTTCGACCGCATCATTCCAGGCTGGCCAATACCAAAATCAATTCAGATTTAATATGCAATTCTCGTGTACCTATAGACTAACAGTAGTACTCCCTCCGTCCCATAACTATGTATTTGTTTGCTTTTTGCACGGAATTTTAAAAATATTAGTATTATATTAAGATATAGTAGGAATAAAATAGAAATTACTAAAATAACCTTATTAGTATTGTGTGATATAAAAGAAATGACATTTGTGAAATATATTGTATATTGTAAGAGTATTTGTAATGTTACTAGATAGTACACTTACTAAAAAAAGAAATAGATACTTTGTTATGGGACGGACTAAAATAGAAAAATGAATAGTTTGTTGTGGGACGAAGGGAGCATACATTATCATACAAAATGAATGTAAAGTTTAAAATGCAAATTACCGAAAGGGAAGAAGGCATCACTAGCCAATGTAGCTCCCTTGACTTCATCCCCGGCTTTCCTCATTGCTATCCTCAAACTTTCAAGGCGGTTTGGTTGTCCACTTCCCATACCTAGCATACGATTATCCTGTAGCACAATATATATATAGATTGCAGTTGAAAACAATTTATATTTGATAAAATTATTTTGAAATCAAACTCTACGAGATAACTGCAGAAGAATAAAGATGATGTTCTTCACCTTTGCTATAACAATAGCATTGCTTTTCACATGCTTCACGCAACGCCATGCAAATTGAGCATCGCAAAGCTCATTTTCATTTCGAGATTTCTCAGAAACAACATTGAATTTGATATTATCAGGTGTCAAATCATCTGCGTCCTGAACTAACCATCCCCCACCGACTTGTCTTAGAGAGAGCTTTTCGTTCTTGTTCTTGCTTGCCTCGAGGATTCTTAAAGTTTTGGACTTTCCTCGGAGTACTTCAAGACCCTTTGGAGTATACTTAGGGGCAACGACAATCTCATAGAACATACGAGTTTCACCATCCGTCGGACTTCTGAACTCTCTTAAATCTTTTGCGAGAGCCTGTCAAACACATGGAAACATGAGAGCTATTAATGCCTCTTTAGCTGCAACAACATCCACTAAAGAAAACAAATTAATTCTAAAAACCAATTGTACCTCATCAACCTCAACATTGAAAGCAACAATGCCACCAAAAGCACTAACAGGATCTGCTTTCACAGCAAGTCTATATGCATCAATAATATCATTGCGTGATGCCACTCCACAAGGATTTGTGTGCTTTACAACCACACAAGTTGGCATACTAAACTCACACACACAGTTCCATGCTGCATCCGCATCTAAATAATTGTTGTAAGACATCTCCTGCATGAATGAGAAACATCAACTATACAAGAAGCTAATAGATATGTAATATGAAAGAGTTGTTTTAACTGAATATATATATATATATATATGTGTGTGACAAGGATGCAAGCAAAAATCTACAAATCTAAAAACTACTTTTAGGACCACCATTCCACACATATTCCAGCATGTTCAGGGGAATGGTTGGAAAATACAATAAAATTATCACACTTCAACTTAAATGTATTTTGAATAGAGGATCAAACGGAAACAAGCCAACAACTGACAACGGATTAACTTACAATCTATAGCCAATCAGAAAATTGTACACGCAACCACATGCAAAGGATGGCAAAGCATAACTAACAATGATATCTCAACAAGAACAAAGCTTCACCTTTCCATGGTGTTGTATGGCAGTTGCAATGCCCCCAGCATTGACCTCAGCAAGAGACTTGTCAACATAAAATGCAGCCTTCTGATGGGGATTTTCACCATATCGAAGTGAACTTTTCAGTGATAATGGTACGGTAAATGTTGGAGGGAACTTGTTGTCTGCAAAGATAGTTATAATATAAGAATATATAAAGGGCAATTAAAGTGTTACACCCATTTCAGGTTTTTAAACTTCTTGATTAATATAGATCATGTTTAATTACTTGGGTTGTGTTAGACATGTTTGGGAAGTGTGTTGCAGTTTTGGGTTGGTTTGGAAATAGTGAAAGGTTGAAAAAAAAAAAAATGGGTTGGTTTGGAGTTTTCATGAATACTGCAAAAACAAGTTTGAAAATATAAATAGTTGGTTTCTGATGCCTTAAATTATACAGGGTTATACCTCCCTCAGTCTGTTTCCACAGCCATTCTGAAACTGCAGAATCATACAAAGCAACATGTTGAAAAGCTTTACAAGCCAGTCTCCTCCTGAATTGTTGGTCTTCCTGTCCTCCTTTGAGATATTCTATAAGTGCTGGATAATCATTGGAGTCGACTACAACCAAAACATCCTTATGATTCTGTCAAATGATAAACAATTGATGAGATATCAAATGATGGTTTTAACAAAGATCCTCCACCATATATAACTTAACTAAATTCCCAAGGTATTCAACATTTGTTCTTTTTCTTTTGGAAATATGTTCCACTAGGTAAGCTACACATTTCAACTTGCCCGTATATTTTAAGAAATTTTCCAGAGACATAATGCACATCAATAAATATTTTCAGCTGTCAAATGGAAAGCAATCAAGGTTTTGAAAACCTTTTTCTTTTGCAACTTCATCAATGAAATAAATTGTTTTATGCAAATGTTGAAGATTTAACATCAGCTGGAACATTAAACATGGAGTTACTCGAAAAGAGAAAGGTTTACAAAAAAAAAAAAAAAAAACCTGCATCTGACCAAATAAAATTAGCAAGGTGTGCTTACAAAGAAATTTCCAGTTATTAAAGTTTTTTTTATAGCTACGGAGACAATTATTACGGCACTATTTTTCGCACATTTCATATGAGGAACACTTCTTGTGTACATGGTGTTGCAGTGCCATACAAGGCCACAGATAGCGACAATAAGGTGTTCTCTATATTTGATTTGCCATTAGCTTATGCCCATGAAAAAATGAACAGTATAATTGGATTTTTAACCAGTAATTCGATATCAAACAGAGTCTCAAACCTTTGCAGCAGCTCTGATCATGGCTGGCCCGCCAATATCAATGTTTTCAATCCCGTCTTCGAAAGAAATTCCAGTAGACGAGGAAACCTTATCATAGAATGGATATAAATTCACAACTACTACATCAAATGTACCTGTGGAAAGATCAAAAGAGAGAACACATAATAAAATCATTATCAAAATGTTGAATTGTTTATAAGACATGTAACTGAGTTCAATGTTGTGGACAAAGTTAATCATTTTAATTCCAATATAACAATTAATAATTTCAATGATTAATGTTGTTTCCATTGAATTTGATTACATGCATGACTAACATGTATTGCTAGGTAACTCAGTAAGACAGATGCATTAGATTAATTTTATGTTATCACTTGGTGGGCAAAGTGAAATTAAACTTGGCTAGTAAACAAGAACATAGACTGCTGGACACATCTTTCACACTTAGATTACTTTAATTGTTATCCAGATATCATTGACTAGGTAAAATATGTCACAAGAGCGAGTACAAATTTAAGAAGAAATGTGAGCATCAAAAACAAAATATTAGCTACTGTCCAGAGTTCGATTAGCCTTGTTTGTCCAAGGGTACCCTCTTATATTTTAGTAGATAGTATTCTCTATTTCAGTTGATTTACTTTGTCTTACGTAATCAGTTGGAGTTTACTTTGTGCCTTATAGTTGTGATGTAATAATCACAAATTTTTCTTTATCCTTTTTTTTGGCTAGTTCAAACATACAATTTGGTAAGTGTGTAATCTCTTTAATCTCTTATATCAATTTGAAACCCATCAGTTAATAGAACTGCACGAACAACTCTATAAACTACATAAAAATTTCTTACATACAATTTACTGCAATCAATAATCACTCACAAAATGCTTAAGACAACAAATATATTAACTCACCAATCCCATGAGTATTAAGGGCTTCCATGTGATGCTCCAGGTCTCTTCTTGCAAGAATACCACCATGAATGTTAGGGTGCAAAGTTTTTACACGTCCATCAAGCTGTACAGGATGTAAAAGAGTTGTATGAAAAAGAACCTGATCGGATTTACCAACACATTTTGGACATTATTTTTATAATAATAACATAAAAAGTGCAAGAATGTTGCTGAAAGAGACCATGTAAAAAAGTAATTTTGATGTATATAGGGAGTATTCTAACAAGGGCGATCTCTTAACATTAGCAACATAAAGTATTGTTCTCAATGGCAAACATAGATCAACAAATATTTGTTTCGCCAAGCAATCGACGTAGTATTATTCATGCCGCAAAGAAGCCAATAAACTAAATGAATATAATAGATACATTTAACAACAGGTTTAAAATTGCTAGACAAAAAGACCGTAAGAGGGCCATACCATCCAATTTAATAAACTGGGAAAAGAATAATTACATTGTCATGGTCACACATGGATATTCCCAAAAGATATGAAACAACAAGGAAATAAATGTCAAAGTAGGAGAAAAAGTATACCATTTCAGGAAAATGGGTACGATCTTCAACTTTTGTGACAGGGACACCATAACCTTCCAAAGCAGATGCAGTTCCACCCGTAGAAACAATTGTAAATCTTAAGGATAAAAGATTGTGATATTAGACAACATCAAGACACTCAAATTTTTGTTAATGTGTAGTTGTGCTATGCTACAAATGCAGCCATGGCAACAAGACCTTACTCCTTAATAATTTCTTTATGAATTAAAAATTTATTGACAATTGTGAGTTCATACTCTGTCCAGAACTTCATACCAATACATGACACCATTTCAAATCATTAACTAAAGAGCATTCCATTACATAAATTGCAAAAATTTAACATGGGTAAACAATGAATTAACATCACAACGAGTCAACCTTTCACAAGAATTTTATCCTTTTCACGATTGTTATATTGAAGTACATAATTGAGGGACCACTTTAACACCCATGGGATCATAATCATGAACTAAGTCACTAACACATCATATCAGAATTAATATACTTCTTCCTGATTCTTTACATGGCTTGTGGAACATTATTAGCAAAATTACTTGGGAATAAATAATACTCCCTCCATCATCCAATTGTGTGCTCATTTGACCGGACACGGATTTTAAGAAAAATAAGGTAAAGATAGAAACTTTTACTTTTTATGGTAAAAAAAAAAAAGTAGAAAAAAATGGTACTCCCTCCGTCCCATATACCATGTCCACGTTGCCGTTTCTGTCCGTCCCACATACCATGTCACTGTCCTTTTTTGGAAAATGATTACACATTTTAATCTCATTTTAAATTTTTAAATTTTTTTTTTTTAATTTTAATTAAACTAATTAGTTATCTTAATCTTAATTTATAATTATTTATATTATAGGATAATTATTTTCACTAATATATTCTTAATTATCTACTAATTACACCCCTCCTAAAATACCGTGTCTACAGTGTAGCAGACACGGTATTTGGGACGGAGGGAGTATTTTTTTACTAAAAAAGGGAAACGTGGATAAATTTTAATGAACAAAAAAAAAGGAAAGTGAGATTAGATTTGGATGACAGAGGGAGTAATAACTTTAAAGCTCTCTATAAATTTCTTGTCTCTCAAAACTTTAACTACTTAATTTTATCGATGGAGTTTAGGGATTTCAAAAGAGGTTCAAACATTGTATAATAAGTTGACAACTATCTAAGGGGTGCAGTCCCGGTACACTTAACTCTTGCAGTCAAATAAAAGCAATGGAATTCAATTGAAAATAAATTGAAAAGAATTACAAGACAATTGAATTCTCATTTTATTCACCAATTCCCATTTGACTACTCAATGAAGTATCCATTTGACTACTCAAACAAATATTTCCAGCATCTTCTTGGATTTCGACAAATGTTCAAAGAATCCACAACGGATTTGAAGTCTGTAAGATAACTTACCCTAGTTCCTGGAGTCCATTTCCTAGCAAAGACAAATTATTCTTGTCTGATAGTGAAATCAATGCTTGCCTCTTCTCTGAAACAATTCAAGTATATTATCACACTAAACTATCAAATCTTCCACATACAATCCTCTCCAAGAAATGAAATAAATAAAATAAATGTACCAGAAACTAAGGGCTTCGATTCAAGCTTCGTAAACGTTTCTGTCATAGCTCTCACCCTAAGCCTAGTTAAATTGCTCGAAGTCGGTGCCAACTGAACACCTCGATTCAATAGAAACATCTACAACATTCAAATTCTAATTCTTTGCAATCTCAAACACTACAAAAAAAATAACAAAAACTTTGAATACCCGCTGGTTCAGTGAAAACCCATAAAAAGCAGATGAAGCGAGTCGGGAAAAGCAATTGTGCGCCTGGTTTGTATCGCTGGAAACTGAAGACGCGGCGGCGATGGTGGCGGACGCTGGAGAAGCAGCGGCAAAAACTTGCATTCTTCTTAAGGTTTTGCTCTGTTCTTTTTAGCACGCTGTTTTACCTTTCTTTCTATAGTTTTTCTTTTTCCCTCAAACCTAAACAGCGCGATGGCGGCCAGGGATGTCAATGGGACGGGTGGGTTTTGCAGGCCCGGACCCGCCCAGTTCGAAAATATTAGGACCAAGACCAGTTTCAATCTGGCTCCAGGATCCGTTCTGAACCCTTCGGGTTTGGGGCAATCCAACAAATCTGGTTTTTTTTTATTAAATATAAAATTAAATTAAATATTTTAAAAATAATTTAATACTAAAAAATTGCATCAAAGCACCAAAAGAAATTATAGTTCAAAAATAATACTTGATATGTCCAAATAAAATAGTCTTATTTACCATTTGTCTGTCTAAAAAACAGTCTCATTTACATAAATAACCATTCACTGTAAAATTACTCTTACTTTTTCATTATTATTACACAATTGCCACTACTTTTTACACTAATATAATCACAAAGGCAAAAATGTTTTTTACCCGTACTTTTTACCCACTACTAATATAATATCAATATTCCTTAAATCTCGTGTCAAACACACAATCCAGACTATAGTTTTGGGATGGAGAGAGTAACAATTAAATATTGATAATAGTTTTTAGTGATAGCGGTCAGTACTAGTCCTGATTAGAAAGAGAATTGTAGAAAAAACAAATGCGAAAATAAATTTATTTAGAATTACGATTCTATTTTATATTTAATTTTTTTAAATAAATAAATAATATAATTTATATTGTATAAAAATATAAATAAATTATAATAATTATTAAAATATCCATGTTCGGATTTTGGTCCGGGTCCAAGATGGGGCGGATTTATAGTAAAACTCGTAACCTGTCCCGAACCCGGCCAAATCTTAAACACAAAATTTACAATCCATTCTGAACTAAACTATTTAGACCTCAACACATCTCATTAAGACCGGATCCGGGATGGGTCCAGGGCTAACCCGCCCTGTTTGACATCTGTACTAGCGGCCTCAGGAGCTCGAGGATTGGCGTACAGTGAGCGAAAATGAAAAAAAAAAAAAAAAGAAAAAAGAAGAAGAAGAAAAAGAAAAAGAAAAAGAAAGTGGGAAGAAGTGCATAAATCGCTGCCGCGGTAGGTTTAGTAACAGGATAAAAAGTTTTTCATTTGTTTTTTATAAATTATTTGTTATTTTGGAAAATATTCCCTCGGTTCCGCAATGGATGAACTTTTTTTTATTAGGGACACGATTTTTTAGGTAATGTAATTTAGTAAGTTATTAATAAGAAAAAAAAATTATTTTTGGTCCAAATATAACCAAAATTCATCAATTTTTGTCTCAATATAAAAAATTTATTAATTTTGGTCATAATATAACCAAAACTCATCATTTTTTGTCTCAATATAACCAAAACTCATTATTCTTGGTCTCAATATAAAATTTTTATCAATTTTAGTCCAAATATAACCAAAATTCATCATTTTTTGTCCCAATATAATCAAACATTATCTTTTTTGGTCCCACCGTCAACAATCCGACGAAAAATGCTGACGTGGACTTGCAAAATTGTGCAATTTCTTCAAATATAAATATAAGGCTTGATTTTTTTTTCACATCAGCATTTTCCGTCGGTTTGTTGACGGTGGGACAAAAAAAATAAGGTTTGATTATATTAGAACAAAAAATGATGAGGTTTTGTTATATTATGACTAAAATTGATAAAATTTTTATATTGAAACAAAAATGATGAGTTTTGGTTATATTGAGACAAAAAATGATGAGTTTTTGTTATATTATGACCAAAATTGATAAGATTTTTATATTATGACCAAAATTAATGAATTTTGGTTATATTGGGACTAAAAAATAATTTTTTACTTTATTAATAATAAGTTATGATATTAGTTTATTATTTTTTATATGATAATAGTATTAGTATTTTAAAAATTTTAAGATTATATCTCGAAAAAATATATGCAATATGGATATCATTTTGTAGATAATAAAATTTTATATAATATACCATAAATTAGTTTTATTAAAAATGTGGAGTTTTAAATATAGATAAAAAAAAATTATGTTAATTGAGGAGAGATAGAAATAAAGAGGTTTTGAGTGGTCCTACGATAAGATGTTAGAAGTTTAATTAAATTGATTTATATTTGTTAAGTATGTTTAAGATTGATAAACTTACCAAAAATGGAAAGAAGTCATCTTTTATGGGACGTATTAAAAAAGAAAATTGGTCATCTGTGACCGGAACGGAGCGAGTATAATAATATTTGTATTAATAACAAAATAAATTATTATTAGGGGTGTGCTTGTTTAGTGGGTTTAGGGGAAATTTGATTTTGAGTTCGATTTTTATTTGAATTTTGAAGTGAGTTTGAATTTATGTGTTTCTTTTATGTTTGAGTTTGGATTGAGTTTGAAGAATTTTGATATGTATTGATTAGATGGTAATGAATATATATAATAATATAAATGTGTATTTGTATAATTTGATATAAATTTATTTTATATTTATATATATATTTATAAATTTTTATTTATTTGTATTAAAAAAAAATTATTTTTTAAAAATAACATATGTTGTGTATATATTTTATTCAATTATAATTATTATAAATTTTTTTATTTATTTATAATTTTAAAAAATTAGAAGAAAAGAAAGAAAGAAGAACCACAGCCTTTTTAGACGTGTCCCCCCAACCCAAACAGCCAAAATTTGGGCAAATTCACTGGCCAAGAAACACACCCTAGAAATACTCACTTCCTCATATTTTTAATGACGGCGATTTATAATATTAACTTATTTATTTTTCACAAAAGATAAATAATTTTCATATTTTAAAAATAAAAACTAATATATATAACTAAAAATTTTAAAATAAATATATTTTAAATTCTATTATTTCACTAATATATATACTATCTGTCCCGCAACTATAGTCTTGGTTGTGTTGGGCACGAGATTTAAGGAATATTGATATTATATTACTAGTGGATAAAAAAATATAGGTAAACGACATTTTTGCCTTTTTGAGTATATTAGTGTAAAAGGTAGTGACAATTGTATAATAATAATGAAAGAGTAAGGATAGTTATGTAGTGATATAGTTATTTATGAAAATAAGACTATTGTTTTGGCACGTACAAAAATAATAAGCAAGACTATTGTATTGGGACGAATGAAGTATAATATAATTATTATTTATATATATAAAAATTTTATGGGATATAATTAAAAATATGTTTCTTTTATTTCAATTTAAATGGGACTTTTAAAGATTTATAGTAAACTAAAAAATTAATGAAAGTGTATAAGAATTTTTAATATTTTTGTCATTTTATTTTTTTTTATTTTAGTAAAAATTAAAAAATATTTTGATATTAATATATTATTATTTTTTAAAAAAATAAATAAATACTTTGAATTAAAAAACAGATGAAATGATAAAAAAAAAAAAAAAATCGTGCCAAAAAAAATTCCTTAGCAAAAAATCTTCTAACAAATTAACAGTTTTTTTTTTTTTTTCTTTTTTTTAGCGTTTCCTTGCTTCAACTGTAAGCTCTTAAAGCATTAGAAAACTTTTTCATTTGTTGGATGACTCTTATATAAAGTTACTCTTTCGTTCCGGCAAATTATGCTGTAACATAAAATAAAAAATAATAATATTTTAATATAAAATTAAAAAAAGTAAATAGAGATATTATAAAAAAATGTATTAAATGGTTAATACTAAAGTTGTAAAGCAATAGGATAAGTAGACCTATGAAAACGGATTAATGGGGGCAGATTGGCCCACAATCCACTCTAACTAGCAGATAAGCAGGTTGTTTGCGAGTAAACCTACGACGAGATCAAAATTTCATCAATCCAACCTAATCCATCGGCGGATGGCGAGTTAAGCGGGCTAAGCCGCCCACGAACTTTTTAAAAATATTAAAAAAATATTAATATTATAAATATTTTTGTAATTAATATTTTAAAATAAATAACAAATATAAAAATTATCAATTCTAAATACTCCATCCGTCCCAAAACTATAGTCTGGGTTGTATTTGGCACGAGTTTTAAGGAATATTAATATTATATTGGTAGTGGGTAAAAAATACATATAAAATACCTTTTTTGCCCTTGTGAGTGTATTAGTGTAAAAAGTAGTGGCAATTGTGTAATAATAATGAAAAAGTAAGAGTAATTTTATAGTGATATGGTTATTTATGGAAATGAAACTATTGTTTTGGGACGGACAAAAATGATAAATATGACTTTTGTATTGTGACGGAGGGAGTATTATTAATTGGTGTATTTAAAAAAATTAATCTTAAGAAATACTCTATTTTAAATATAAATCATAATTAATTTTATGAATTTGTAAAATTATAAAATAATAAAATAGAAGACGAACAAAACAAATAATGAAAAATCGAAACAAATAACAATGCCATGAATAACATAGTTAGAGAAGAAAAACAATCGTGTAGACAATATTGAATTTATTTAAATTAATGATAATATAAATTTTATTTTATTCGTCTTAACTTAAATTATTTATTTTCAATAGATTAAAAATAAACATATGTTATTTGTTAAATAAAGTGTACAAGATGATTTTAATATGTTTTATAAATTAATTGTATTTATAATGGTATATTTGTAATTTATATAAAATTAAAATATATTCTTATATTTATTTGACCAGCGGGTTAACCTGTCCCACTGCGGGCTAACTCATCCTCAACCCGCGGTCCACGCGGGTTGGCCCATTTAGGCTCGCATTTAATGGGCTTAAAAAATCACAATTCAATCCTCTTTAAAGTAAGGCAGGGCGAACCAACCCGACGGACTCAGCCCATTTTTACTGCTCTAAGGATAGATAAAAAAAGTAATTTTACCTGACTAATTATGTCACAATATAGTAACACAAAAAATTAAAAAATAAATTTTAATAAAATAGAGTGTGTAAAAAGAAAGTAAAAATATTATAAAAAAATTTAATAATAAAATAATAGAGTAAATAGAAAAATTAGTCCTTCCCCAGGCTAATTATGTTACAATATCTAGGTAAATGGACTAAGAAATAATAATATTGTAATGTAAAAATTGGTCACCTAAAAAATAAAATATGAATATTATAAAAAAAATTAATTAGATAGTTAATAATAAAGTAAAAGAGTCAATAAAAAAAAAATAGTGACAAAATTAATTATTATTTACAAAAATATGAAAAATAAACTTATGGATTAATAAATTTATTTATTATAAACAAATTATGCATAAATTAATAAACATTTAAAAAAGAAAAAAGAAAAATAGCATAATTATTCGGAACGAAAATAATATCTTAATATTCTTTTGGTAAATTATGCCAAGTATTCAAAAACCATCTAACTCAGATAGACCTATAACCTATGGAATAAGAATATAATTGTTCTTTGGAATGGAATCACTTGCAATTTTATTTCAATTTTTTTCCCTATGCAACTCTAAAGTGTGTTTATTCAATAAAATATATAAATATATATATATATATAATTTTTTTCATATAAAAATATAAACTACTTTTTATAAAATATTATATTAAAATTATTATTTTAAAAATAACGTAAAAATAAAAAAAAAACATCAATTTTACTTTTTTATATTTTAAAAAGTAGAAATTAATATGTATTCATTTTATAAAAGTGTAACATTTATTTATTACATATAGATTTAAAATATTAATATTATATTAATTTGTAATTAAAAAAAAGACAAAAATATTCTTGTTAATATTATATAATATAAAAATAATAACTTTTATATAATATATTGTAAATTATAATGAATATTTATTATATTAAGCCGTAACCCAATTACTAAACTAAAAAATAATAACTTTAAAATGCACAAAAATGAAAAATAAAACCATTATGGTAGGGAGGGAATATTTATTTTTCTACTCAGTGTATCGAACCAAAAGGACTTAAATGTGGTGGACTGAGAACCGGTCATGGACAGACAGGCTTACCAGGCATCTGATTCCACTCCATGGCTGTCATTGTCAATTAGATTTGAGAACGAGGGGTGTATTTGCAAATGTACAAATATTTCATATCTAAACCAAACCGAACAAATACCCGAACCGCGAACATTATTCGAACCGAAAATTTAGGTTAACCATATTTTTAGTACCGAATTTTCGGTTAACCGAAAATATTTGCAAATAACTCGAATAGAATCGAAATTAAAAAAAAAAAAAAAAACACATTAAAAAATAATTAAAATTGTAATTAAATAAAAAATATTTATAAATATTTCAAATATCTAAACCGAATATAATTATTAATATAAATTTTTGTTGGGATTGAATCGACTCAATACTAGTAAGATATTATTGCCCAAAAGATCTCATACTAGTAAAGTTGATTAGGAACTTATAAGAGTGGAATTTTGTTAGATTTGTACCCCCAACAATTTTAAAATATAATAATATAAATATATTCGATTAATTGAACCGAAAAAAATAATAAAAACAGAAACCGAACCGAACAAATATCAAATATGCAGTATTTCTATTCGAATCGAATTTGATCGGTTAACCGAAAATTCGGTTCAGTTCGATTTTTTTACCCTCCCTTATCGAGATCGATTATTAAAAAGTAATTAGTTATTGGCTGCTCTTGCTCCTCAAGATAGGGAGAGAGTCTCCAACACAATCAACCACACACCACAAAATACTTACTACTAACTACACTTGAGCACAATCATTTTCTCTCTGTGCAAAACCATCACATTCGGATAGAATAATAAAACCATACAATAGTCGCCACCTTTACCAACCTGGAGAAAGCCATTAGTGCCAACCAAGATCTCTTAACCGTGCACCAGGAATATAGCACATCACGACATCCTTCAATGTTCTCTTGCGTTCCCCAATGCTGGTTGGGGTTGGGGTGCCCTGTTTACAAGATAAAACATTAGAGGCCAGCATGCTTAACAATCATGAATCATCGACAAAACTTGACCATGATAGATACCTCACCTCCTCAGCAGTGATGTACCCACTACCCCCCAGTAATGATGCACAGCTACATTTGCATTACTAGCTTATACAGTATAGTTACACACAAAAACATATTTACAAGGGCGATGGACAAAACCATTTCGGCTGAAAACAAACCATACTACAGGATTGTCAATTGTCGCAAAAACAGCAGGATATATAGACTATGAGTGGACCTGGCCACAAAAGTCTATATATAATAGTAACAAACTGAAGTGAGTTTAGAATTACAGAAGAAGAAACAAACTGCCGTAGATGAGGAGCAAAAAGAGCAGACTTTATGAAAGGGTGCGTCTATTGAAAGATTCAACTGTAAGATTTGCTGTGAAGGCAGGAATTGAATTCATCTTGCGGATAAATATATCAACCTGCCATATGCCAGTGAGAGCTAATCAAACGCCAGAACAACCAATATACATGCCATACATGAAAGCTAGAACTAGGAGTCTGTTTACCCGGCGAACACAATTCCTGATGAATATTAATAAAAAATACAATATATATACACATTTACATAATATAAATAATATATACTCTATTTTTTTATGAGAAACCAACAATTTAACACAAAATATTATTTTTTATATTATCTCCACAAAAAAAAAAAAACACCTCAAACTAAAACACTAAACATAATATTTCCATACCTGTCTTGAAATCTCAGGGTGAGAAGCATATTCATTCACCTGGCATTTTCAAAAAATAAATATTAAAACATGATATATCATATATATATATATATAAAGTTGAAGATCATATGATATAAGAATACACATGTGTGCAATTCATGTGTCAGTTTGGAAGTTCAAATTCCATACAAAGAAATTGACATCATACCCAAAATCATATCTAATAAGCAGGCCTCACATCATTTGAAACCAAATGACTCCTCACCATTGTATAAGACTCTGACCTACTTTCAGATATTGAATGGACTTGACTTGAGAAAATACATTGCAAACATATTGTTTGTTCATTTCTCTTTCTAACAATCTTTACTATGGTGTTAGCACCACTGTATACTAATTTTTCTCTTTTCTCTAAAGAAAAACTGCACCATTTCCATCTGGTAAAGTTTTCAGCATATTAGACATGCGACAAGAATCACTCTATTACAATCTTTCTACCTATTGATAAATGTACCTCTAGAATCACGGAGACTGAGGTGTGTTACGTCTACAGGTTGAATTACTTTTATATATCTAAATATTTTATTCACCATATATAGGCAGACAAAAGGGAAATATTGAGCTAAAAATGAAATCCTGTTCTCCATTTGTCTTCGGACCAACTACCACCCTATCACCATGAACCACAAGAATAAGGAAAATACAAAATGCCCAGCTACACCCACTTTACCACAATGTTTGTGTTCCCAGATTCATATTCAAACTGAAGCTTCTCGTCATCACTGAGTGCATAAATAGAATGGAGAGTGAATCTTGTGACTGGTATTCCATCAGCCCGGTGGTGGTCGTCCATCACTATCTGAAACATATTGAAAGTATTATGTTAAGAATATTACAATAAATTTCTGCACAATTATAGGATTTGTTAAGCATATCAAAGCAATATCCTCTCGCAAACAAATTTCATGTTCTTTTTTTTTGGTGCAACACGAAGACTTCTTGGGAGGTCATCCATCTTAGTACTACTCTCTTCCATGCACGTTTAACTTCCGAGTTCTAATGAAATCCGGTATGTTAAACTGTTATGGGTTTGTGCAAATTTCATGAACGATAAGGCCTAAAAAAATGACAAAACCTATGTCGACAGGAGCTTTTCCCTCTTTTCCCACCTGTTGTAACTACATCATAGTTAGGCCTTTGTTCTGTGTTCTTTAATACTTCTTTGGTGGATTAAAGAATAAATTAAAATAACTAATCCATTCCAAGGGACAACTAAGTAGAATTGAGTTAGAAATGTTTTTCCTATCATAAAATATTAACATAAGCATATTCAAGAACTTGAATATCGTAAGAGTTCCATAGGACCCTGGACAGTACACTCAGTACTAATGAGCAACCAATCGTACCATGGGTCAATTTCTCCTTTTCATTTAAGTGGACTCTTTTGCAAGATATCTTTAACCGCTGTCAAATATTAATTCTCAAATAATAACTCTTATTGATATTTGTAGCGATACACAGATTCAGCGATTATATGCTCTTCTATATTCTTAATCACAATAATACGGTACACATACAATTATAGGTCTATCTGTACCAGGAAATTACCATCCTGCTCTACTTATCAATACTATTTATATAGTCCACTGCTCAGATTACGAGCATGAGATGCAGTTACTTCACAAAAAATACAGAGGCAATATTGCAACAAAATTTCACTGTAGAGTTATTAGCAAAAATTGACAGTTGATACCTTATAACCAAAAAGTTCACAGCATGCCCTCCGGAAAACAGTGATTCTTTCTGCGAAAACTGTCTTGTATCTGTTTTATAACATATTTCCAAGAGCTGAGTTTTCCCACAAAACAATTGTAACTGCTATTACACTACAGTAAATATACTACCTCTCCTCTCGCTTTTCAAGTGTAGCAATTTGCTCTTTCAGCTGCTTAATCTTTCCAGCAATGTAGGAGTCAACATTTGTGCCAGCATCAGCTACACAGCAGGATGTGAACAAAAGGACAAAAAAAGATCTTATCATACGAAAAGATTTATTAAATACACAAAAGCTTTAGGCAGATGGCAAGTTTAGTATTACTCAGACTTCACATGATTGCCCGGTAGCTCTTTATAAGGTAAATTTAGGAAAAGGTCAGGCCAATCCATATGCATGTATGTATGATCAATAAGAATGCATAAAATACAGACCAATTATAGACAGAGTTAAAAAAATTTTGGTCTAGGTGTAATTCGCTGCGCTCATAGATTTTCATGGATGCAGGCATCACAAGGGTTGGTATATTTTTTTCACCACCCAAAATGGCCTACAATCTTGCTACAGCAGTCAACTTAATCATTTTGATCTAAAATCAGAAGAGCTTATAATTAACTTTAAATGTTCGAGTCAATTAGACGCATTACACTTGCCACAAGTTCATTTGCACAAGAAACAGTGTCAATTTCAACTGGTGGAATGATTATTGGTTTATCCAACACCATTCTACTGGACAAAAGATACCAGTATATTGCCCCTACATCCCTGAAAACTACTTTTCATTTGCATCTTATAAAAAGTGCCCAAGTCATCAAGTGAACTGCATACTCCAATTAAGATAGGACAGGACATCTAGCAAGAAATCAAATTATATGAGTTTGATGACAGTTTATCTTCCTTACATGACTGCTTCTTGAGCTCCTCCACCGCTTGCAACTTTTCCTTTGTTTTCTGCAGCTCATCTTGCAGAGCTTCTATTGTTTGTTTTGCCTCACTGTCAACAGCCAGGGTGTTAACCATTCGCAAAACCTTAGTATTAGCAGAAGAAAAATCTCCATGCCCCAGCTGCCAAACAAACACGGAATTCTAGTCACAAATAGAGAAATGATGAAAGTAGAAGAAGATAAAAAGCCATTTATTACTGGAAAGATAATATATAATAGGCTTTACTGCCTGCCTCAATGATAAATAAGTTAGTATTCCACTTTTCATAGACATTACTGCTAAAGCCAGAATTCTATGCAAAGGAGTTACGAATACACATGAACTATCAGAAACCTGCATAAAGCCAAGGGGTTACACAACACTGCATTATTTAATTTGGTAACCCATCTATACCAGGTGGGCATACAACAACAACCAGAATATCGTAAGAACATGTTAAAGAGCTTTCTACTAATACTCTGCACAAAGGGCATGCTTGCGAGGTAGAGTATATTAGTTCAAGAAAATGAGATCATGTTCTCACCATAACTATTCTTTCTGTTTTCAGTTTAAATATGCAATAGCTTTATTCTGTTAAGAAGAATCAAATTAAATAATATAATGATATATTTAGTTATCAACTTAATTTTCCAGTAAAATGATCTTTTAATGTGGTACCAAAAGGATTCCATGCTAAAATCTCACTATTGCTCATTATGAAACAGTATTTCATGAGTTTGGCTTTACAAGCAAATCAACATCCTAAGTGAGGATGTTTGATGGTAATAATAGTACAACTTATTAAGGCATACTAGTCTCATAGTTAAAAATTATAACCGTAGGACTTCTTAAAAATATCATAATATTGGATTTGGCAAGCAGACAAACACCAAAGAATAGAATAGAAATTGACCAAAATATCCAATATGCAAGAATCTTAAATTGCAAAGCAACCTTAGACTCCAACAATGCAATGTCAGCACGGAGGCGATCGTCCTCTCGTTCCAACATTTTTATTCTTCTTGCTTCATTCGTTAACCTTTCATTTAGCAACTTTATCTCACTTTGCTGACGGCTATTAGTTTCTCTAGCTTCTTTTAGACTGTTCTCTAGTTCCCTGATATAGTTTTCCTTTTTGGCAGTAAATGCTTCAAGCTCCTGTCAAAATGAGAGATTAATAACCACAATAATATGAAGAAAACTTATGTTAGAACTGTGTAACATTTATAACATTGTGTAGAAATTGGTATTCCAACCTGAGCAATAGTGTCACTAGCTAATTCAGTTCCAACTTCATGATGTGGGTGATCTTTCAACTCCCTGACTAGATTTTTTAAGTGGTCTCTTTCCTCTGTAGTCATGCTGAGCTGCAACAGAAAAAAAAAAAAAAAAAAAAAAAAGTAGTTCAATAAAAAATCTTATAAGATAAACAAATTCCACTTACTACCAAGCTGATAGATCAACTCTTTAAAAAGAATCACTAGCAGATCAATTGAGCACCGCTACATAATAAAATATACTAAGAGCCAATAATCCACAACTTCAAGGTGATGGAAGAAGACACTTCATAATAAGCAGCATTTTGAAAATTTATCTAGCAACAAAGAACTAAGAAATCTCTCTCTGGAATACTAACCATAGATTCCAGCCTTTTAATTTCAATTTTACAAGACTCTGCCTTTTCTTTTGCCATTACAGCCTCAGATTCTGCATTTTGTTTATCAAGCATTGCAGCATCAAGAGCCACTTGAATTTCTTTCATCTGTGCCTGGGCCTCACCCACTCTCAACATGTTATCAACTACGTCTCTGTTTGAGTTCAATGCAAAATGTGAGATGCTCCAAATGAAGACATGCAGATATGGATTTTACATAATTCATGCCAAGCTACACAACAAAAAATAACAATAGAATAACAAGTGAAGTTCACATGAGCTCCCCTTCGCACACACACGCGCACACACACAAAACAAAATGTGGCACATTTTGTTAAAGTAACCTCTATACCTTGGAAACAAGTGCAAGTATCATGGCAACACCTACAGTCATGAACTGAGAATATGTAATACGCACTAGTGAACTACTACATGAATTGAATGACAATTCCTAAAATGTATGAGGCACAAAAAGTAAAGTAAAAGAAGAGTACAGTGCATACTTTTGCAAAGCCGCAAATTTGGAAGGTACATCATCAGCAGTTGCAACACCAGGAATTTCCTTAGTCAATGATTTCCATGTAGACAACTCATTCTCCAACCTTTTCATATGTGACTGTAGATCATATAGTTTCAATAGATCCAACTCAGCCCTCTCCCTGCAGCTCTTTTCTTCATGTAGTTTTTCTTTCAACAGCTTGACATCTTCATGAGAAGCTTTTATTTTTCTTGCTTCACAAACTTCGGCTTCCTATGTTACATTGACACAGTTCCATTATGCATTAGAATATTTTAAACTGAAATGTGTGTCAAAATATGAAAATTGCAGTCACAAGCTTGCAATTAAAACAGGGTTAGGTCAGGCTGGTCCTTGCAACCCATTATATTCATAACAGGTGAGGTTAGTCTATGGTACGATATTGTGATCCATGACAAAAACACATGCATATATGAACTTATACCAACAATTTCAAACACACCACCACCTAGGGTTGTGTTCTTTTATGGGTTTTGGCACAGATTTTTACTATTCAAATTCTTATTCCCTCCAAAAACATCAAATCAAACAATTACTTTTTTTTTTATATTATACTACAAAATAGTTTTACATTTAAAACATCACATCAATATTTATTTATATCACATCAAACAACTATTCAAATTCAACTTTTTACTATTAAAAAATCCAAACCCAAAATCGCAAACCCACAAACAAACATACCCTAGGACACTTTAGCAATGTATAACTCCAGATGGAATACGCAGTGAAGGATCATTATAGAACTATCTTCTGCAATGAATTATTTACTATAGCATAGGTAATTAAAACCTAAGGTTTTTGGGTGAACAAGAAGACAAATTTTTAACATGTCTTCATCGGGTGGAAGAACTCTTTAAAGAAACATGTTAATTTCCGGATACTATAAAATGGTTAACTGACTGCCAGTTTTAAGTAAAATTTAAAGAAACATGTTAATTTCCAGTATGATATAAACAGAATGCTTACATAGTTCCTCAGTTCTTCTTGTAGATGCTTCAGCAACACATCAGTGTCCTTAGGAGTTTCAAGAGAGTTGATTGGTAACTTTCTCTCTGCCTCAAATTTCTCCTGTATGCACTGTTGAAGAAAGCAACTATTGTATTATAACTATTTCATTACGTATGTGTAGCCCAGAGAAATACACGTAAGCTAGTCATAACAATAATGAACACACTATTCTATACAAAGGAAGTCAGTGCCAAAACTTTTGTATTCCATGAACACAACAAAAAAGAAATATGGGTGAATTTTTAGAACGTAGGTTTTGTTACAAAAATTAAGTATTCCTTTTTATAGTAGATGGAGAAAATTAAAGACAAATGAATATTACATTTTTACATTACAGAGGTCGCGCAGATCTTCAATTAAATTTTCCAACTAGTAGGTGTCATATTTTTATATAGGTTAGACATGAACCATACGAAAGAAAACCAAAAACCAAGGTATATTTGCACAACTGTCCTAAAATAAACCTAAAGACAATTAAGGATTAGCCTGGCCTCAGTAGAGAATGGTTATTTTGAAAAGAATAACAGAAGGTACACTGCAACCCTACAGGTGAATTCAAGCTCACAAGACACGAGACCTCTACAAATATTCAACAGTTACCGCATCCAATCGTTTTTTCATTTCTTCCAGCTGCGCATTCAGTAGTGCTGACTCTTTCTCTGCATTTTTGGCTCTGCATTCCATTCTCTCAAGCTGACCAAAAGATAATGAAGAATTTATATTAACAATATCAACATGAACAGAAAATCAACAATAACCAAGGTTGAAATACTGACTTCAGCACTTATTCGAGAAACTGACAGCTTTGATTCACTTTTCAGTTGAGCAAATTCACTTTGAAGATGATTTTTTTCCTTATCTACACTTTCTGATATTTTTCTTAGCTTTTCCTCTAAAAGGTTTGCTTTTTCTTCAGCCTCAGCAACTGATGACTCAGCTTTTTTCCGAAGATCCATCTCATTTCGGAGCTTTACCTATCAAAATATGGGTTATTTTAGTGAGCATTTGACAAGGATTAACTACAGAACAGGGGGCAAAATAGTCTTCACAAAAAATATCAGGTAGAGTAGATAATAGGAACAGTAAGAATAATGATATGATGAGCACTAGCATGATTTAGGAGTTAGGACTCATAGATGAGTTGGCATAAGATACAATTGAAATGTGGATACCCAAAAAACAATGTGAGTTTGTTGAAATAGTAACATTGTAGTATATCTTTAACCAAGCCATTTTCTTGACGAAATGAATTTACATTTTAAATAGGAAAAAAATGATAGTTATTGGGCTGACCGTGCAAAATAGATGAACTAATTGCAATGTCCAATATCAAAAATATTTTTACAATGAAGGCCAAAGACTGGTCCTACATACATGGTACAAAGACTATAATCAAGAGCTAAAATTTCCAGAATTTAGGTTAATTGGCTAGTGCCCCAATTGTAGTATTAAGCGGCGCACAATAACAGGTTAGGTAGTCAAATGTCAGAACAGGTCATTCATTGCATCAGAGAATATGAACCATATGAAAAGAACCATCCTATTATAAGACTCAGTTGAGTTAAAATTAGGTCTTATTCTTCAATTAGCTTGAGTATTATATCATGCACAGCTCAACATAATGTGTGTGTTGTTGACGAAACACATTATATTCTTGAATATAATATGCAGCACAACTTTGGAAGGTCATTCAACTTTAAGACATTGTTTGACAAAAATTGAAAGAACCAACAAGAGGAAGGAATGAAGAAAACTTTCACTCTCAGAAAAAATTTAGCACTCTCAATATCATTGTTAGAATGGTGCAGCGTGGCACTGAGGTGCAATAGGGCAGCAGCACTGCATGTGCGCATGTGCCATTATATTTTATGTTTAGTTGTTAAATCATGTTTCAACAACTAAACATAAAAATTATATAAAATCTCAAGTATCACTAAAACCTGAAATCAAACACTACTTCATCATAAACTCCAGTCATCAGAATTAAATATATTTCTTATTCAATTTTCATCTTCTTCGTGTTAAATGATCTCAAAATACTTTTCCTCGGTGTCATTATCCTGAACCAATCAACTGAGATGGTGGCACTGTGCACTAGTTTTTTATTTTTCTCAAATAAACAATAAAAAATTAAATAATATCACACAAGTAATTAATTTATTGATAAAGGGAAAGCCATGGGTGGCACAAGGTTAGGGCATTGGCAGCAAATGTTGTATCTGATTCTTTTTCAATTTAAAGGTTATAAAATCATTGCATTATTATTATAAGAAAAGGTGCTCCATGACTCGGACTTTGGGGCATAGGCCATGCCATGGGCCATTTGGGCAATGGCTCCACTAAACCATTCATATCTTCAGAAAGGAAATCCAAGACAATCAAGAAGGATAATTTAAATCAAGGTAATAATTGGCACCTCAAGTTCACTATAGGATTGTATTTGCTTCCTAAGATGTTCTTGAGAGAAGTCAACCTCCTTCTTAAGTTGTTCTTGTAACATGTGTTCACGTCCTTTAGCAGCAGCCAGCTCTTGCTCCACATTGAAAAATTTATCTCGAAATTTCTTTTTCTCAACTTCTGCCAGATGTTCATAGCATCACAATTTCATTATGTATTTGGCATCAATCTATGATCATAATTGCTTTATGTAATCAAGTAATTCAAAAGATGAAGTTTACCCAATACAAAAAGCTTAAAATAAAATTTAATTTTTATGTGGAAGAGAACAAGAGATCGAACGCATGGTTCCTGCTTGCTGCCAAAGACTTAAGGGCGTGTTCTGTCCATTCTTACCAGATTTTGAGAAGTCCTCGCTGATTGCTTCAAATTTGGATTGATATTCTTGTGCTTGCTTTTCTGCACTGCTTAGGGCATCGAAAAACTCTGATTTTACCTTCAAGTGAGGTTTTTCGGCCATGAAAATTGTAAGCAGAAATTCAAGCATACAAACCCACTGACGAACTTCAACATTTCTTGCCAACTATTTTTCTATCAAGAAAAATAAATTTTGCAGTGTGATAATAAATCTAATTCAAGATGCCTAAATGTAGTGAAAAGAAAAAACTCTAATTAATTGAGAAATTTTCAAACTAGTTTGATTACTTGGTTAATTGGATTATGCAAGTTGAAACTGAAAAAGTGGAATTTTCATCCCCATTCTATTTTTTTCTTGAGCCTGATAAAATAAAACAAGTTACTTGACCGATGCGAAAATTGATCAAAATAAAACTTTAAAGTTTCATGCCAGACGCTGCTTCGAGTATTCTATTCACCTGTACATACACCTATTAGACATTCCAGTATTTCGTGCATTGGTCAATCAGAAATTCATTTTTCGAACTAAGCCGGAAAATAAGTGTATGAAACTGCTACTTAAAAACATAGACATGAGAAAGCGAGCCGCTGAAATGAAAATACGGCTATAACATACCATCTGACGGCATTGATATGTACACAGCATCTGGTCAGAGGCAATCGGTCCTGAATGATCGTGAGAACATTCCGCCACCGGCAAATCCTCGAAAACCACTAGCTGCTTGTCGGAGCCTGAGCTCCGTGCGTTGCTGCGCTCGTCCAACGGCAGCGACTCCGCCATTCTCTTCTTAGCTGGTGGCGTCCTGAGGATCATTTTGAAGCTCTCTCTTTTCCAAATCGATCGCGAGAGTGGAAATTTTGGAAAGCTAGGGTTCCATCTGTACGGAGAGACGTTTTTTGAAAAGGGACGCGCCAAACTAATAAATAGCCTTCTCTACTTTCACAGTGTACCTTCGTCAGGTCCGTTTGCTACGATGATTTGGATTTTGAATCGGAATTTATATAATAAAATAAATTATTGATATAATATTTTAAATTAAAAATAATTTTTAGTATAAAATAAAAAATTAGTATTTAATTTGATATTTTTAAAAAAAAAATAGAAAGAATAATATATATAAAATCCAATGCCCTAAACATATGTTGTTTTACTTTTAATTTTAGTTCACACTGTGGGTGCGTTTGTCTGGGGTTTGGATTTTGGATTGAGATTTGAATAATAAAAAATTTAAATTTGAATAGTTGTATGATGCAATATAAATATATATTGACGTGATATTTTGAATGTAAAATTAATTTTTAGTATAATAAATAAATAAATAAATAAATATTTGATTTGATATTTTTAGGGAAAAAAATTTGTGTGAATAGTAGAAATCCATACAAATCCTTCAAACAACCACACCCTAATGTATTATTCATTAAAAAAAATTGATAATTTAATTCAATATATATAATATATAGTATTCTTCTTTTTAACAAAAATATTAATATTTAATATTGCTAATTTAATTTCTTATATTTTATATGGAAAAAAATACTTTAAATTAAAATACTAGATAAATACACTCATACATATGTAAGTATATAAAAAATAATCTCTTTGTTCCATAAAATAGTTTTTATTGGGTTGAACACGAAATTTAAGGAATATTGATATTATATTGGTAGTCGGTAAAAAGTAAGAATAAAAGACTTTTTTATGAAAAAATGGGGATAGTTTTATGGTGATATGATTATTTGTGGAAATAAGACTATTGTATTGGGACGGATAAAAATGATAAACATGACTATTGTATTGGGATAGATGAAGTATATTTTGTTTATTATGAAACTTAGTGTTATATTAAAATAAACATAAAATGTCATATTCGTCCAAATGTTGAGATTGTTAATAACTACAGGGCAATTTTGTTGTGATTTTAAACTGAAATTAATATTATTTGAAATAAATCAAAATATATTCATATTAAATTACATTGAAATAATCCTAGTATAATATAGACATATAAATTAATAATATTGTTTAATCAACATAACATAGGAATTATTATTGTTGCTGCAAAATAACATCTATCATGTGTTCAACTAAATCAGTTTGTAGACAGACAATGGTAAACTTTACTAATGTAAAGCATAATTTTTCAAAGATAGTCTGTAAATTCAGGGATTCAATATTGTACAACTTCAATAGACTCATCTATCATCATGTAACCAATTTTTAACATATTTCTTTCATCTTCAACAATGTATAATGATGCAAGTTAACATTATATATATTTTACTTTCTTATAGACCAACATTGTGCAGGTTATTGAATCATTATTCATCTAGCTTCTAAGGCCCAAATGCTCATTCCACATTCTTTTTTCGTATATTCTTGTCTTTCTTAAATAATTTTCGTTTTGGATCCTAAGGTAAGAGAAAGCTTAGCCGATCATTTCGGATAAATATCATCTATAAAATAATAATCATTAAAGTATGTGGTTTGGTTCACTGTGATTTGAATATGTGGTTATATTCTCAAATAATTGTCCATCTAGCTTGTAAAATCTCAAATGCTTGCTCCATATTCTTTTATGCATATTTTTGTATATTTGAAGCAAAGAAAAGAAAAATGGTTTTCGATCCTCAAGAGAAGAGAAAACTTTAATGAAAGCAAACCATTCAAGATAAATCTCATATGGAAGATGATATCCACGAGAGTATGTGGTTTGGTACACTGTGAATTGAATATTCAATCCGCTCATTTGTGTAACTTTATTGAATAACGGCGATTCGTTGAGCACATTGATATCGTTACATGACCTGTGACACCAAAAAGACATGTCATATCCATAAATCTTGAGAAGCAACGATTTCAAGCATTCCTATAAGAGATTCATGACCTCGTGTAAATTGTTTATTTCAAGCCATTGGACAATTATTCAAAATTCAATATATGTAATCAAAACTATCCAACATACTGAAAAACCATGTCTGCCATTGTACAAATGAAGAAGACGATTAACGTCATTTCGGTTTGGCCTCCTCAAATAGCGTTCACCAACTAATTCCATAATAGCTTCACAAAAGTTAAAAAGGCAAATAATAGAAGATTTTTTACTAATGCACAGATACTCGTCCGTATAGTCATCTGAAACTCCATAAGCTAATTGATCAATGGTTGCAATGCCTTTTCATAGTGGAGACAATCCTGATTGACCCGTTTCGGTTACTTTTTGTTGGAAAAAAACGGTTAGATAAATTCCTTCGCATACGAAATCGTCAACGGAAAATATAATCAGTATATACTGTATTTTCATAAAAGTAATTGTGCACGTGTGTAGCATTCCCCTCTTCCATATTCATTCTATGTTTTCGTATTTTTGGAAGCTCATTTCCCAATAATTGACGATCAATTGCAATGAACATCTCACCCAGAAAACAATGTTCATCGGCTTATTCAAGTGCTGTGTTAGAAGTAGAATTTTTAAAAATTTGAAACGTGGTAAAAAAAACAAAGTAAAAAGAAAATTAATAAAAAAAGTTAAAGGTTGGATTAGATGGATGGGTGGTAAAATAATTCTAAAATGAGATCACGTATTTTTATAGTTAAATTAAATAGAAAATTGATAAAATAATTCTAAAGAAAACTACATTTATAAAATAAATTCTTAATGCTATTTGCAAAAAGTTAGCAAGTCTTGTTTATAATTATATTTTTAAATTTCATATAAATTTAGGTTTATATATATATATATATCCAAGTCGTTAATCACAAATTCACATTTTTATTGTTGAAGTACAAACTCAATCTTATATTGAAATATTATAAAAACTCATACTTTAGTTTCGTATGAATTCACTGGTATAAGGCTGTTGTAAAAAAAATTTAAAGATAAACAAGATAGAATTAAAGGTTAGACTTCACAACTTAAAATCCGCAAAAAATATAAATTTTTGCGAGAAAAAAAATAAGATCATTGGGACAAAAATATCATATTATATGTATTATATTATTATACTAATACAATGTCATTAAAAATACATTATTTTTTTTTACAAAATATCTTATCAAAATACTTTTAAAACAAAACTCAAATTAATATCTAATTTCAAATCAATTCAAACAACAACCAACAAACCCTAAGATTATCAAAACCTTTTCAACACAATTTTAATTAATTTATTATATAAAAAATATAAAATACACATATATTCTTATTACATATAATGTATATATTATTCATTTTAAAAAATTAAAATTCAATATAAAATATTGTTTATTTATATTACATACATATTTTTTTCATACTTAACGTAAAAAATAACTTAAATTAAAAACACAAAACAAATATCGTTCCCCATGTATTGATGATATGATTTTTAGTGTAGATTACAAGTGTGGTATCTCTTACCTGTAAGACTACCTCAAAAACATTTTATACGAAGAGTCTTTGTCACATTCGATATTTCTTGGATCTTGAAATTTCTATAGTTCTAGTGAATATTACATGTCTTAGTAACATATGTTTTTGATATATTGTCTTATGCTGGCCTCGTTAATTGCAAGACAATTATGACACCCCTCGATGCTAAATGCCACTTTACACCAATGGATGTCTTCCTCTTGCTTGATCTATTTGGCAATCACCTATCTTGACATTGCTTAAGTTATCCACCTGGTTATTCGATTTATTGTTGCACTGCGCGTCATTCATTACTTTTGTGATACCATTGGACTTAGGCTGTTGCTAGGTCAATTCTCGAGTATGGATGAGGCAGTGCTAGGCCAATCAAGAGTAAATAGAAATTAAATGAATTGAATAAACTATTCATATTAAAATGTGCATATTTTTTTTTCGGAAGCTCTATTGAAAGAACCCTAGAGTTAAGTGTATTTTTCCTAGAGTAATTTGACGATGCTTTCCCTAAAATACTTTGAGGATGGGTGACCACTGAGAAGTCTCCTAAGATGCGTGTGAGTGATGACAAAAGTGCGCTGGAAGAATTCGTGTTAACTTGTAAGGCTAGTGGCTTGCAGGTCGGAGTGTCACAACATTGCAACTGTACGTATGGTTACAACTCCAAATCACTCTTTTAACTCTATCTGGTTATTCTAATGGTGGTTGGGCAGACAATCCTACTAATTATCGCTCAATGACTTGTTTCTGTCTTTTTTTTTTTTTTTAAAGTGATTGTTTTGTCTTTTGGGGTAACAAGAAGCGAACAATCGTTTCTTATTCTAGCATTGAATTTGAATATTGTACCCTTACTGATGCTACTTCTAGTGGCGGAACAAGGATTTGACGAGTGGGGGGCTAATTTTAAAATTTTTCGAAATAATACTATCTATTTATTATCGAATAATTTTATTCTTTATGATGTCATATTTTGAAAACCATGCAAAATAACAAACTATAGCAACATCAACTACATATTACAATATTTATTTTTGTATTGTTTGAAATTGATAAATACAATTTTTTATCCGAAGGAAATTTCATTAAAGAAAAATATTGAAAATTGTTTTTTCTTCTGTGTGTTTCATTTGTGTTTTTTAAATATTTTTTACTTTTATTAAAAATAAATTTTGCATTCAAAATGTCACATAAAATTTCTTTATGTCACACAAAAAAAAAAAAAAATTCAATTTAAAATTTTTTATTACTATGGTGTGTTTCTTTAGCGCAAATTTTTCAATTTTTTAATATTTGAACTTTATGTTTTCTGAAAAAATATATTTTTTTTCTTATAAACATCCTATCAAATATTATTTTAATACAAAACTTAAACCAAATTTTTTTCGAAAAGAGGACTGCATATTATATATCTATATATATATATATGTTCAAATAAAAAATAACAAAAAATAAAAATTAAAGGACTCGCTTGCTCCTTAGTGCGTCTGCCATTAGCTATTTCTGAGCTCTTATATTGGGTTATTGTTGAGAGTGGAGTACTTCAATTATATTCTATTCTTTCCGTCCTAATACAATAGTTTTATTTATTATTTTTATTTGTTTAAAAAAATAGTTTCATTTACATAAATAATTATATCACCATAAAACTATTCATATTTTATTATTATTACATAATTGTAACTACTTTTTACACTAATATACTCACAAAGGCAAAAAAAAATTATTTATTCTTACTTTTTACCAACTACCAATATAATATCAATATTTTTTAAATCTCGTGCCCAATACAATAAAACTATACTTTTGGAACGGATAGAGTATTACTTTGCATTGCAGCAATAGAGGTGTTATTCAAAATTTTCACAATCATATTTTTCATAAATGCATTAAACATATTGAAATTGACTGTCATATTGTTCGTCATCATGTTGTTCATGAAAATATTTTTGTTTCATCCGACTACTTATAAATTATTTATAAATATTTAAAATGTAGAAATATATATATAAAAGATAAGAAAATCATTGAGTATGACCACATTACTTATAAATTATTTATAAATATTTAAAATGTAAATATATATTTTAAAAATTAGAAAATCATCAAGTATGACCACATTATTTATGAATTGTTTATAAAAGATATTTATAAATATTTAAAATGTAGATATATATTTAAAAAAATTAGAAAATCGTCGAGTATGACCCCATTACTTATAAATTATTGTAGATGTATTTAAAAAAATTAGAAAATCATCTATATACTCAGTAAATAATAAATCAAATATGATATTTTCACATAAATAATAATATATTTTTATATAAGTGTTATATATACTATGGGTGTGTGTACACAAGTTTTTTAAAAGAACTATACATAGAGGTGCACTTGTTTTCTATTTTAAACCTAAAAAAAAATAATATTTTTTTAATTAAATATAAAAATATACTAATAATATAAAAAATAATACTTCCTCTGTCCCCGGGATAAACCCTTTTATTAGAGACACAATTTTTTAGGTAATGTAAATTAGTAAATTATCAATAATAAGTTATGATATTAGTTTATTTTTTATATGAATAATATTATTGGTATTTTATAAATTTTTTTAAGATTATATTTCAAAAAATTATTTATTTATTTATCATTACTATGAATTAATTTTATAGAAAATGAAGAGTTTTAAATATAAATAAAAAATTATGTTTATTGAGGAGTGATATAAATAAAGGGATTTTAAGTGGATCCTACGGGTAAGATGTTAGAAGTTTAATTAAGGGTGTGTTTGTTCGAGGGATTGGATTGGATTTACACTATTCATCCAATTTTTTTTCCAAAAACATCAAATCAAATACCTGTTTATATCGCATCATACAACTATTCAAATTCAAAATTTTTATTATTCAAATTCCAGTTCAAAATCCAAACTCCCAAACAAACACACCCTAAATTGGTTTATATTTGTTAAATATGTTTAAGATTGATAAAATTACTAAAAATAGAAAGAGATTATCTGTGACGGGACGGATGAAGTATTTTATATTAAATTATTATTTTTTAACATAAATAAAGTATTTTTTATATTTTTTATATGAATATATATATTAATAGTTTCTATATAATAGTATTAATAAAAAAATGTGTAATTTTTTATTTCCATTTTTATTTTTAGCTAAATAACATAGTAGCCTTAATTAAAATTAAATAAACATTGTTAAGCAACCAATAATAATACACATTATTCATTTAAAAAATTATCAAATATAAAGAAACAAGTAGACGTTGATTGATTGAATACCCGACAAAGAGTAAAAAGGCAAAAAAAAAAAAAAAAAGGAAGAAGAAAAAGAGACTTCGGTGGTACCGTTCCTTGCTGTGCATCCCAAAAAACCCCAACTTGCTGCAATTCATCATGCAATAATAGACTGCTCTGTAATTCGTGTCCCCAGCGAACTGGCAACTAATGATGAGCACCACCAAGGAGGCAATGGCCGCTGCGGATGGTGGGAGCAGAAGAAGGGGCACTACTGGCCCCAAAGCAGGTTCTGTTTGGGAGAGCAGAATGAAGCTCGACCAAGTTAAAGGTGGGATCAAAATCAAAGCCTTCGACGCCATTCATGATGGAATTATTGCTCACTCCACTCCGCGAAAATCTTCCGCCACAGCTTCTCCTGAGCCGCAGATCGACAAAGGAGTGATCGATTCGGATAGTGACAATGCGCGTCCCAAACAAGGTGCTATCGGTTTGAGCGGCAAGAGGAAGACATGGAAATCGGAGAATCCTGAGGGAAGCCCTAGCCCTATCATTCAAATTGCGCGCCAGAGATCTGAATCTGGCCAGCAGGTGAAGGAAGTCGCCGTCTGCGGAGATGATGAGATGAACGATTCGGAGACGATGAAATCTGAGCCGTCCGATGGGAATTCACTTGATCAATTGGTTACAGAGTTGGAGAAGAAGCTTCCAGATGAGCTTAACGAGGTGAGATCTGAACACCGACATTTTGTAGAGAAGGAAGCCATCTCGAGCAATGTGAACCGTCGGATCAAGCCTCCATCCGACGGTGGAGGAGTGGGCGGCAGCGCTCTGGTTGTTAAGGAAGTCACTTCGCAAGAGCCACAGAAACCGAAGAAGAAAGCTGTGGCTGAAGAGAAGAAACTCATCCACAGCAATGCAAAGCCTGTCAAAATTCCTGCAAGTCATGTCAAATTGCGTCGCCCAATTCCATCAAAATCCAGTCCAGACGAGGGTAATTAATAATTTTTTATTTTTTTATATATATCCACTCAAATATTGCGTGATCGTAAAATTTTACTGTCTGAATCTTCTGTGTTCTTGATTTCAACATTCAGAGAGAAGTTCCCCTGAAATTCCCAGAACCAGCGGCAAACTTCAAAGCTTTGGTGAGAGCTTCTTTCACTGTCTTTGAAGAAATATTTTGGGTTATGATGAAATTTTCTTATGGTTTATCAATGTCAGTTGACTTGGTAATGTGGAGAGATGCATCAAAATCAGCATTTGTTTTTGGGATTGGGACATTTGCAATTATTTCTTCATCATTCACAAATGATCTCAACATCAGGTTAGATAGATACACACACATACACATTCACTTATAATTTCTTCATTTTTTTTGACTGGGGATATATTCTGCAGTTTTATTTCTGTAGTTTCTTACTTGGGCCTTGTCTACCTTGCTGCAAATTTTATCTTCAGATCCCTTATTTCCAGGTATTGCAACAAATTCGAGAGCCATTTTAAGATGATGTAATTCTTGTAATGAATCAATCAAATTTCACCTGTGGTTTTTGTTTTTTTGCCAAAACTTGTAAGGGGATCGATAGAGGTAGCTAATGGCTCGAATGAAGAGTATGTTATTGGGGAAGAAGAAGCCATTAGGGTGACAAAAATGTTTCTACCATATTTGAATGAGTTTCTTGTGAATTTGAAGGACCTTTTTTCAGGGGATCCCGCGACAACGATGAAGGTCAGTAGTGCTTTCAAATTGATTGAATTAAAGCTGGTCATGTTGATCAATGGCAATAAAAATTTTGGGGTGTTTTGGCAGTTGGCTGTGATGCTGTTTGCTTTGGCACAATGTGGAGGCTCCATTACCATCTGGAAAGTGGTGAAATTAGGTCAGTTTATAGTTGTTTGTTAATTTATTTATCTTTAAATCTTAAAAGAAAGTTGAATACTTCTAAGTAGGGGTGTGAAAATATACCGATATACTGTAAATTTCAGTACGGTATGATATCGTACTGTATATTTTCTGTACGGTAACGGTATGCACTTTCAATTTTTTCGGTATTTTGGTATATACCGAAAAAACTGGCATACCGAATTATTTTATATATTTTGGTATTTTAGTATCTTTTGTATTAATCGAAATACCGAAATTGTTATTTTTTTATATATAATATATGGTAATATATTCTTGATAATTCTAAATAGTAAAAAAAAAAAAAACTAATTTGGTATTTCGGTATAATAGTGTACATGTTAATACCGTTTAAATTTTGGTATTTTGGTATAATCGGTATACATCTACCGTTTGAATTTCGATATTTCGGTATAATATGATATATATTGATACTGTTTAAATTTTGTTATTTTGTTATAAATCGGTATATATCGATAAAGTATGGATAGTTCGGCATACCGAATAATCGGTACGGTACGGTATAAAATATAAGTCATACCGAATTTTCGATATACCGATTTTTCGGTTCAATAACAGTATGATAAATTACTATACTAAAAATTTCAGTACGGTTCACGGTATAAGTTTCGATATACTGGACCAACCCTACTTCTAATAGAGTGATTGGTAAAATTGAATGTTGATGCGCGAATCTTAATACTGAATCAGTTAGAATAGTGATTTTGTTATGGTGTGTCTGGTTGTGATTTGAAACATTACATCAAAATGCTATTTAAACAAAAAAAAACTCAAATCTAACATCCTATTTCAAATAAGTTTTGTTAGCCAGATCCTTATTTTTTTATTTTTTCATATAAACATTCTGGTTTTAAATAGGCGTTTAGATACTTCCACAAATTTGTAAAATTTCTTAAAATACAAAAATATTGAAAAAAATAATGAAGATGCAAATTGAATGACTGATGGTGAAAGATAAAATGAATTAGTGTGGTCAAAATTTAGAAATACTTGGGGTGTGTTTGTGTTTGTGTTTTGTGTACGTGTTTTGCATTTTAATAATGTTTGGATGTGAGAAGACTAGTGTATTTTTTATAAGGAATAGTAGGAAATGTATAATAGAGAAACTGAAATTATAAGTAGCACTACCAAGAGATCGTTTACCCAGTGCGCACTTTTGGGAGCGACTGCAGGTTTCTACGTCATAAAAAAAAAAAAAAAAAAGAATCCTAAGAGTTTCTCCATCATAATTTTCAATGTTTATTATGTGTTGTTATGATTTGAAATTTGGTTTTGTAGAGTGTTGAAATTTTATAAAATAGTGTTGATAATGCAATAATCATTTTTTAAAGTAAGTGAATAATATGAATGGTAAATAGGTGTTGAATGTGATGAGAATAACTGTTGGATATAATAATTTTATTTAGAGAAATTTTTTTATGAATAATGTGAAATGAAGCTGAAAACATAGGTAAAATATTCTGGTGTGATTTTTTTTGGATGCAAAAATTTATTCTGCTGTGAATTTTACAGTGCAAAAATATATCTGAAATTGCATACAAACACACATAACTCTCAGGAAAGAAATAATTAGTGTTAATAATTTACTATCTTCGTATAATTGATTTATTAATTAATTTGTTTGTCTAAATTAGTTAAATATTTACTTAAAACTATTTTTTGGCAGGTTTTTTTGGAGTATTTATTGTGCCCAAACTCTGCTGTACCTACTCTTCTCGCATGACTGCTCAAGGTAACTACAAATTCTTGTGATTTTTTACTTATATAGTCATAATGAATTATACGGGCTTGTTACTATCTCTGTGCCACTTTAATTGTCTCAAAAGAATTTAATAGTAGATTAAAAAGATACTCCCTCCGTCCATAAACTAATCTCCTACTTTTCTATTTGGGACGTCCAACAACTATTGTCCTATTTCATTTTTTTAAACACAAATTTTACATTTTTACCCTTCATTCATTTATTACTTTTAATCTCTACCATACATTTAAGGGCAAATTTGTCCATTCATAACAAAAAGACAATCACCTAAAAAACCGTGTAAATATACTTTAGGACAATAGAAACTGGACGGAGGAAGTAATATATTATATAATGGGGCTAAAAATGAAGTGTGGGATAATATTTAGATGGTTGCAGGTGCTGATTTATTGGCATCAACATATCACATAAAAGTAATCAAAAAAATTTATGATACAATATATGTTATGTTATAACTCAATATATGATATTTTATAACATAACATATGCTCTTTTACGCAAAAATATATATTGTATGCCTTTATTATATGTTGACTCGATTAAATCAGCACCGTACTGATTTGATTTGATCAACATCTGATCCGTTTCCAATTTAGATAGATGGAAGTAAAAACAAAAGTAAATTGATAATTGGATAGTGGCCTCATAAATTATAAATAGAAGTTAGTTAGATAAAACAACTCTAAATGGAAAGTGATGCTATTTAAATGGGACGAGAGAATATTTAATTATATAAAGTAAAAATGCATCCTTTTTTACTACCTAAATTGAGACATGTTATTACATCTTAGAAATTGCTACTAATTAGAATTGTTACTTGCTTTATAGTTATTTTTATATCCCCTATATTAAAATACCTTTTTTAAGCTTTCAAGATTTCACAAGCATTAAAATGAAAAAAATAAGAAATTTGCAGCCATGCATTATAACCATAAAAGGGTATTTTCTCTAATCTATTCTATTGCGTTATTCTTAGATCGCTTCGATTACCGTGCTGTTGGCTTATGTCATCCTACTAATTGGATTAAATCAATATGATGTTGATTTGACCCAATCAACACATGTTTATAATAAAAGTAACAAATATTAATATAATAAATATATAATTATATACAGTAAAATATATTATGATTTCAGCACAATTATAATTTGATTCAATCAACAAATATATATAAAGAAAGTAACAACTATTAATATAATATATAACACATATTTTAATAGCACATTATAACATAACATATGCGATCCGATTTGCTAATTTAAGTTAATGGCACAACTTGGTAGTATGGTATCTGCCATGTAATGATTTGCTAATTAGTTTAAGTTAGTTTGCTAATTTAGTCAAATCAGTATGATGCTGATTCCACTGCTTTTTAGATATAAACTAGAAATGTTTATATAGTTTGTGAAAAAGATGAGTTAAATTTTTTTTGTTGCGAAAGCTGCTGTCCATAAAATTGCTTTTTCGAAATATGCCAATGTAGGTTCATTCTGGGTACGCCGATTTTCCGATGCTTGGAAGTCATGCTCTCACAAGAAAATAGTAGGCTTTGTTGTTTTCACTGCGGTTTGGAATTTGGCCTCGCTCATTGCCCGGATATGGATGGGTATGCCCGCTGTATATCTCGCTCCTTAAAAGTTTTCAATATTTTTGCACATTGTTAGCATAAATAAATATAGCGCCGTCAGATATTGCTAGACAACAAAAAGCTTTACTTACATTTTTTTGTGCAAGTTGTTTCTTAGGCCTAAATATTTCTCATATGAATAATCTTTTCACTTTGTTTGCTATTTTGATTCCCATGCCTCAGCTTTCATGTTAGTTGTGGTGATAAAGTACTACCAGCAGTCATCACCGTGCACAACCGAAGAAGCCCGGAGTCCAGCCGATACAGGAAAGCAAAACAAAGTGAGTTGAAACTACATCGATATATAGACACGCACACACACACACACATATATATATATATAGATATATATGTGCCTTTAAGAATAAGTGAATTCATACAGAGTCTATCTGTGATACTGATGTCTTTCCTTAGTTTAGTTCAGGAATAAATGTTCTAATAGTTTTGTAAGTAGGAATCAGTGTATTCTTTCATTTTTATTTATTTTTTAAAGTAATAATGATAAGCAGCAATGTTGGTATAATATACTTTGCATGTGGTATTTCAATGATACTTGAATTTCACACACATCCTCTCGGAATCGAACCTGGAGCCCGGCCCAGCCCGGCCCGGCTCTAAGTTAGCGATGTTTTACCGTTTGATCTATAAAGCTTTGGGTATTGAGTTGAGTACTTGTAAAAGGGAGTTTTCAAATGATTTTATAATTGAGCTTTATGGTTTAGACATTGAATATTTATATATATTTAACCATGGAATAATTAAAAGGGTAGACTATATAACATTTTTTTTTATATATATTTTAGTAAAAATACACAAAACATTTGTATTTTATAAAAAATACACAAAATTAAGTAATTTTTTTTAATGACGTGGGAATCCGTAGCCGCTACCCGAAAGTGCGCATTGGGTAAATCTCCGGTCAGAATTAATACCATGTAAACTAAGCTCGACAGACAAGTTACACTAGACGAACCATGTGTGTCAGTGACCTGAGACGTACCTTTGCTTGCTTATGTTTTTTATATTTATTTTCATATCATAAAAGCTTTTGTCTAAAAAGTATTGTATTCAAAATTATCTTTTATATAAGATATTATATCAAAAATATACTTTTTATTTATTTATTTTGTATAGAAAAGCAACTAAAGATTTCAAAAATATATAATAAAAAAACAGAGATTTATGAATAGAAAACTAGTAACTTTGGTTTTATTTATTTGGAATTTGGCTCGAATCTAAATACCAAAAAAATAATAGTATTATGATATAAAATAGGGTAGATTAAAAAGTAAAATACATCTATTATAAGAAATTTATTGAAAAATGTATACAAAAATAATCGGTATTTGAAAAAAAAATAAATAAATTGATTACTATTTATTAAAATAAAACTAATAAAATTATGAATTATAAATAGTCTAGCCGATTGACCAAAAAATTGGCACAACGGAAAGAATATTTAAATTATATATTTTGATTGTTTTAAAAATTACACATTGATATTCAATATGCATATCATCTTCTAAAAAGTAAAATTAATATATAATAAAAATAAAAATAATATATTTATATATAATTGATATAAATTAATTTGCAAAAGAAAGTTCTATATGATATAAATATTGCGTTTATTTAAGAGAGATATAGAAAGAAATATTTGGTTTCATTTATATATTTATTTATTTTTTGTTTTGAGGGAATGGCAAAGAAATAAATAAATAAATAAAAATTGAGAGTATATAATCCAAATTTAACTATAACCTAATATGAACAAAATACCAAATTAGAGCTCAAAGACTTATGGTTTGTTCTTTTTATGATTTTTCTTAACCATTAAATTTTTAATTTTTTTAAAAAATAAATTATTATTATTAATTTTTTTATATAAAATATTATATTTAAAATACTATTCAAATTAATATTAAAAATTAAAAGTAGAATACCTGTTTATAAAATGCATAATATTTTGATTTAGTGCTAGAATAAGAAATAATAGTTTATTTTTTACTGCGCTATGAAACAAGATAATTACCCCTAAAAAAAAGAGAGAGTAATCGTCAAACAATGATCATATGTAAGATCAATTGTCCAATCTAACGTCAAAATAAGTGGAGAGATTTATGGACAAGTTAACTGAGAAATGCAATAGCATCATTTTATGTTAGTTTTTAAAATTAATTTAATTCTAAACTGCTTTTAAGAAAAATATTTGGTTCAAGTATTCATAGCACCTCCGGAACACGTGATGTCACATAAGATAGAAACACGGGTTGAGTGAGTGAACTTGCTTTTATGTATTATATTTAAATTTTTAACCAGAAAAAAGAATATTCTATTTACAAGCGTATATTTGTAAATATTCATAAATGAGATTGTGTTAAATAATAATGTGCTTTTATAGTTAATTTTTAGCCTTAACACTGTATTGTGGGGCCCGAAGTAGGAGGTGACAACCTCATGATGCAATGTAGCAGTAGCATTTCCAAATGAGCCAACTGGGGAATGCTACAGTCACACTGCATCAAGAGGTCGTCATCTCCTATTTCGGACCCCACAATACAGTATTAAGGCCCAATTGACTCATACTAAAAATGCTACTGTTACACTGCATCATGAGGTCGTCGCCTCTTATTTCGGGTCCCACAATACAATATTAAGGCTAAAAATTAACTATAAAAGTATAAGCAATTTTATGAATATTTACCAAAAAAACACTCATAAATAAGAGGTTTTTCTAGTTAAAAATTTACATATGATTCATACGAACAAGTTCACTCAATTAGCTCGTCTTTCTATGTCTCGAGACGTCCTATATCCTAGATGTGTCATACCCAATTATTTTTCTTAAAAGTAGTTTAGAATTAAATATATTTTAAAAACTAATATAAAATATGACATGTTATACTTTTTTTAAAAATAATAAAGTCCAATCTCCGTCAATCACAAAATACATGTCATGCTATGTCAATATTGAAATGATCTAACAAAGATATCGAACTCGACAACCATGCACATGCACACACATATATACCTCGTCGAAGTGAACAGTGAGAATAACCTCGGTTTCATAATCACAAACCGGAATAACCTCGACTTCATAATAACAAGCTCACTACTCTTTTAGGACGGAAAGAATATATATTATTATTATTATTATTATTATTATCTTTTATATAATTTATATTATTATTATTATTTACATTTATCATCGTTTTTATTTTTTTTATTATTATTATATTATTATATTATATATAATATAATTTATATTTACTTTTATTTTTATTTTTATCGATATAAAAAATAATAATAAAATTTAATTTAGAATATTAATTATTATAATAATATTATTTTATAGACTTTTAAATCAAAGTCGAGATATTACAATTTACTTCGCCTTAAAATTTCTGTCTCCGGTATCTAAACTCAAATGCATAACATAATTAAACAGGATACCTCTATTTCTTTTTTCCTACAAGGTTATAAATAAATAATTAAGATTAGATAGGATATATAATAACGGTGATTAAGAAATTAATTAATTAATTTATATTATCGTTGTCGCGATGATAGTTAGTTATGATCCTATTCCAAAAATTGGGTTTCAGTTTGGGGATGGAGGAGGGAGCGGATTTGTTGGGCAGCGCCGGAAGCGGAGCCACCTGCTCCTCCTCTCCTCACATCCATGGCCGCTCTCCTTCAGAAAACTGTCTCTGTAGCCCCACACCGGATTCAGAAGAGCCCTTTTCCCGTTTCCGTACGTCTAGGGCTTTCTCCCTTGCGCGCTTTCGCTTCGCTTGCTACCTGCCTACTCTACCCACCTTTACTCTGCCATTTCCATTTTCGCGCGCGCCATTTACAACTCTCTCGACTGATCGAATCATCGATCCAATCTGAAGTTATAATTATAGTAATAATCCTAAAAAATAAAAAATAAAAAATGCAAGTCAGGAACCAAGGTGAGGAGAATCCAGAACAGATGGAATCGGCAGAGGATAAGCGACTCCTAGCAGGTGCGTATTTGTATTCTGAATTTCTGATTCATTTTTGCCGATTTGAATTTCAATGGCGGTTTGTTGCTGAAGAAATTTAGGAGCCCTAATTTTGCTTCGTTCTGTGTGTTTGTGTTAATTGAGGAATCATGTTGCTTTTATAGAAATGGAGATGATGAAGGAAAAATTCGCGAAGCTTCTGCTAGGAGAGGACATGTCTGGAGGTGGAAAAGGCGTTTCCTCTGCTTTGGCACTCTCAAACGCCATTACTAATCTTGCTGGTAAGCATTTCATAGCTTCTGCAAAATTATTGTTTTGTTGTGGTCATTTGAATCTAAAGAGCGATTTATTTGTTCGACAAACAATGAATGATATTTCCTAATTGATTCAGCTTCTGTTTTCGGGGAACAATCGAAGCTCGAGCCTATGTCTCCGGAGAGAAAAGCTCGGTGGAAGAGGGAGATCGGTTGGCTTTTATCCGTCACTGATTACATTGTCGAATTCGTTCCTTCTCAGCAGAAACAGAAGGATGGATCGAGCATGGAGGTTGAATTCATTTCATTTTCATTTCTTATCGTATGATTCCTTAGGAGAATGGATATATATATAAATGCTTTCGATTCGATTCGCCTTTTTTCTTGGTTATGCATCGATGATTTCGCAGGTAATGACAACACAACAAAGGCGAGACCTGCTTATGAACATTCCAGCTCTGCGCAAGCTCGATGCAATGCTCGTGGTAAGAATCAATGGTGTCAATTGTTGATCCAATTCGCTTTATGCTTTTTGTGTTCGTTCGATTATATGTAATTGTGTAATGTTTAGGACACTCTGGATAACTTCAAAGGCCAGCACGAGTTCTGGTATGCATCGAAAAATGCTAGTGATTCGGAGAAAGGGGTTCAAAGGGACGACGTCAAATGGTGGCTACCGACGATCAAGGTTCCGCCAAACGGGCTATCAGAAGAAACCCGACAGTTCATATTGAAGCAAAAGGAATCAGTGAATCAAGTGCAGAAAGCTTCAATGGCGATCAACGCTCAAATACTCTCCGACATGGACATTCCTGAAAGCTACATCGAATCCCTGCCGAAGGTCTAAAAATTCCAAGAAGAATGGGGAAAATTGCAAAAAATATGTCACATGTATACCCCATTATTACTTTTGTCCTGTATTTATATCCTATATGTTTGCAAAAGTCGCTATTTCTATTTTTTAACCGCGCGTGGCGTGAACATTACGCGCAGCCAAAGGACAGAAATAGCGACTTTTGTAAACATGTAGGATATATTTTGTCAGCGAGATAAATACAAGACAAAAGTGATAATGGGTATACATGTGAGATATTTTTTCCAATTTTCCAATGTATTTGTGCAAAAAAACTGAAAAATTGTTGCCGCGAACTGATTTATGTTTGTCTTGCAGAACGGAAAATCAAGCCTCGGGGAGTCCATCTACAAAAACATTACTGACGATGTATTCGATCCTCATCAATTCCTGTCGACAATGGACCTCTCTTCCGAGCACAAAGTTCTTGATCTCAAGAACAGAATCGAAGCCTCTGTGGTGATATGGAAGAGGAAGCTGCACTACAAGGACTCAAAGGCTTCGTGGGGATTGGCATTGAGCTCCGAGAAGAGAGAACTCTTCGAGGAAAGAGCCGAGACAATCTTACTACTGCTAAAACATCAATTCCCCGGCCTCCCTCAATCCTCGCTCGAGATCACCAAAATCCAATACAACAAAGTACGAATCGCTACCAAGCCTTTTCACGCATTTTACTACTTTAAACATATCCAATATGGCGGCAATTAGAGTGCTGATAGCCCAGTCGGCACTCTAATGGCAAGGCAAATAACTCATGGTTCTATATAGCACAACTAGACCTATTAAACGAATCGAGTAGCTTGCGAGCTAAGCTCGACTCGACTAGACTCGACTTGTTTATAAAGATAAACGAGCTGAGCTCGACCTCGAAAATTATTTTTTTATAAACGAGTCGAGCTCGAGCTTGGCTCGCAAGTAGCTCAATTGAGCTCGTTAGTGATGGTATATTTATATTATTTATATATTAATATAATATATATAATTTTTATATCAAAATCTACATTTATTAATAAAATTTGAATATTTTATTATAAAAAATTATAAATAAAATTAAATATATTTAATTTATATATTAAAAAATATATAGAATATGTATAAAATTCGAGCTGAGCTCGAGCTTGAATTTGAGCCTATTGAGCCCAGCTCGAGCTTGAATTTGAGCTTATTGAGCCCAGCTCGAGCCACTATTTTGATTCAAATTCTTAACAAATCGAGTCGAACCTCCACTGTTAACAAGTTTGAGTCGAGCTCGAACAATCGATACTCGAGCTCGCTCAACACGTTTAGCAGCTCTAAGCACAACATAATGCTGCTATATAGAAGCATGCACGGTTTAATTTATACAAGAGTGTGTTTACTTCGTAGTATAGAATGATAATCCTTAATATGAGATTATTCATATTATGTTTACTTTGCCGGATTAACTAATGAATAAGACAGACTTTAATATAAATATTGCTTGGATAAATTAATCTCACCTATCTAGGTAGGATTAACTATTCTTAATTAATAGATTACTATAATGGATTTTAATCAATCTCGGCTTTTAATATATTAAAGTAAACATGTGATCAGGTTGGATAAAATAATATTATTCATCCTAAAGTGTGATATATATATATATATGCTTATTGTGCTGAAAATCAATAATATACAGTAGTGTGTGTTGTATTATCACGCTGTCAGAACGCAAAATTGAAGCGTATCGAATATATTCATTTCATATAATCGAACCTCGTTGTTCCTTGTAGGATGTAGGTCTGTCCTCCCTCGAGAGCTACTCAAGGGTGCTCGAAACTTTGGGCAACACGGTGTTGTCCCGAATTGAAGATGTCCTTTACGCCGATAAGATGGCTCGTGATCCATCACTTGCTGCTGAGCCTCCATCTCACCAGGCGGTCGAATCCCTGCCACTCCCGTCAAAACTGAATGCTTATCCGAACCCCGAAGAGAATAATTCCGACAAGTTGGACTCATCTGCCGAGACCCCGACTTCTTCGATGACCCTCTCGGATTTCATGGGATGGAACCTCGAGCCTCCCGAGGGAGATGTCGCGCATGCCAGCCCGCCGGTTCAGGCAGAGCCCGTCAATAGTAACGCGAAGGAGGAAGAAGAAAATGTGGTCACCACGGCATCTAAGTCTACTAGTACGTTCAAGAAGTATTTGTACATAGATAAGATCGATTTGAGCGGTTTGAAAAGCCCGATTGCCCGACATTAAAGACCGGGTAGTAAATTTTTTTTTTTTTTTTTTTAAAAAAATAAAACGACAGGGTAAAGATAGAGTGACGTTTCGTCGAACTGTATTTTCGCATTTGGGTAGGAAAGTAAATATGTATATGTATTGAGTCTGTTCATTTGGTTGTAGATGATGTTGTTCTCTTGACTTTTAGGAAATGTAAATTTTTTGTTTGTTGTATTATTTTGTGTTTTTGTTGAAGGTTCGATCATTAAGTTGTTAATTTTTAAGTCATGTTTGCCTATCTTGTAAAGCCTAAAGGGGGTGCTAGGAAAATTTTTTATACGGCGAATAGATAACTGTATAGATAATAATAAGTTGACGAGTGAGTGTAATATATTAATTATTTTTAAAAAATATATTAAAAAAATATTACAAAGAAAAACAAATCCTAACGTTCACGATATTTCGCGGAAATAATTAAGAAACGATCTTGGAACTTTAGACTTATTCTCTTATTATTTTCTCCAATCTCAATATAAATTTTTTTTATACATATCTTTATAATTTTTTTTTATTCATATCTTTTAATAAGAATATATTACTTTCTTTCACAAATTATTTAAAAATACAGTATTATTTTATTAACACTTTCAAAAACTTTAGATTAAAAAATATTATTTATGTATATTTAGAAACTTTTTATTTTGATTACTGCTGAATTTTCACGTTGTCGGCACTGAGATAGAGACTTTCTCTATTTTTATTTTTGTTTTTATTTTTATCTTTCTTTCACATCAAATTAACAAAAACACGTTCACCCTTTAAAGCATTAAGGGTGTGTTTGTTTGGGGGATTGGACTTTTTTTACTATTATTCATCCAATTTTTTGCCTCAGAAAATATCAAATCAAACACCTATTTTTATTTTTTATATTATATTAGAAATCAATTTTACATTCAAAACATCACATCAACACCTATTTATATCACATCATACAATTATTCAAATTCAAAATTTTTACTATTCAAATCTCAACTCAAAATCCAAACTCCCAAACAAACGCACCACCCTAAATGTATTTCTATATTCTTCTTTTCATGCACATCTTTTTTACTATATTTTGTTACATTTTTTTTTTTTTTTTAATAATTAAGAATTTTGTTTTGCAATATATTTTTATTAGAGCAGTGAAATTGGGTTGAATTCGTCGAGTTGGCCCGACATGCCTCACTTTTAAAGAGGGTTGAGTTGTAATTTTTTAAGCCCGTTAAAATACGGGCTTAAACGGGCCAACCCTGTGGACCGTGGGTTGAAAATGGGTTAGTCTGTGGGGCGGATTAGCTCGCGGGCCAAGTAAATATAATAATTAGCACTCACTCGTCTCAACTGAATGTAATTTCTTTTTACCTTTTTTTTAAAATTTTATTTAAATTACAAATATACCATTATAAATACAATTAATTTATAAATAACGGTACAAAGAGTAGAAAAATATCAAAATCATCTTGTACACTTTATTTAAAATAAATAATATATTATTATTTTTAATCTACTGAAAAGAGATATTTTTAGTTAAAACGAATAAAATAAAATTTATATTATCATTAGCTTAAATAAATTAATGAATATTGTCTACATGTTATTTTTCTTTTCTATCTTATTTATTTCAATTTTTCATCATTTATTTTGTTGGCCTTCCATTTTATAATTTTTTTTTATTCTAGAATCTATTCACAAGAGTCATAAAATTAATTATAATTTATGTTAAAAATATTTCTTATTATTATTTTTTAATACATTAACTAATACTAATTTTTAGAATTAAGAATTTCTATATTTGTTATTTAATTTAAAATATTTATTATTTAAATTTTACAATAAAACTATTTTTAAATATTAATTACAAAAAATATTTATAATATTAATATTTTTAAAATGCTAGTGGGTAGCCCGATTAGCTCACCACCGCCGATGAGTTGAGTTGAGTTGATGAAATTTTTATCCGTCCCGCCGACCGGAAAATAACCCGCTTATTTGCGGGTTACGGCGAGTTATGGGCCAGTCCATTCCGCTGACCGAGACAAGTCTAATTTTTATACTACTATATTATTTATTGGAGTAACTTTACGGAAAATCTATAATATTTTTTTAATTTTATAAAATGTCAAAATTGTTCAATGCACATTCTCTCTATGTTATATAAGTTGTCTATATTTTTTATTTTTATATATTCATGTAATTTGTTTATTTGTTTTTTAAAATAATAATGTATACATTTTAATTGTATTTTAAATTTTATAAATTTTTAAATTTTAATTAAATTAATTAATTATTTTAATTTATAAATATTTGTATTATACAATTATACTAATATACTTTTTAATATTTACTAACTATAATATTGTCTTCTCCTATCTTAAAAAATCAGACAAGGACAAGGAAAGTATAATTTATATCTTATATTTATGGTATGATATTTATAAATTTTTATTTTTTTTTATTTTTTATATACATTAAATAAATTATTTTAATTCAAAAATTTATTATTCATAGCTTCTCATCTAATTCCAAAACCCACAAGCAAATTAACCCACCCAAATGATTACTTCAATTCATGCTCTTCAATCTTTCTATCCGGCATACCGTACTGTATCGAAAATATCGGTTGATACCGATACCATATTAAATTTTTCGGTATGACGAAAATACATACAAGTACAGTACCGAAAGTTTTAATATACCGAATTTTGGTATACCAAAGTTTTCGGTACGGTATCGATATATATCGTTTATACCGAAAATTTCAATTTCGGTACGATACCGGTATATACTGCTTATACCGAAAATTTTGATTTCGGTAGATACCGGTATATACCGATTATAACGAAAATATAATTTTAAATTTCAAAATAATTAAAAAATTAATAAATATCACATTTCTCCACCACAAAAATATTATGAAAAAATCAATAAATTTTCAATAGTTTACATTTTTTTTTGTTATTATTTAAGAAAAAATTAATAATTATTATTTATATTAATAATTAAATTATTTAATAAAAATAATATCGGTACGATATCATACCGAAATACCAAACTCTTCGAAAATTCATACCAATACCATACCGAAAACTTCGGTACGGTTTGGATACCATACCGAAATTTTCGATATTTTCGATACGATACGGTACAATAAGTTGGTATTTCGGTATGTTCGATAAATTTTTCAATCTCTAATTCTTGCCAGCTATAATGTTTTAACGTCAATTCTGTAATTTTCAGTAAGGATGTGTTTGGTTGTCTTTGAAACCAGAGTTACCATTATAGTTTAAATATTTTTTATCTCAAATTTTTTTTCAGAAATTTTAAAAGTGTCTTACATGCAGAGACGGAAGCACTTGGGGGATCAATTTTGAGATAATTTTTTTTATTAAGTATACTTTGTTACTCTCTCCTTCCCACATAAAATGCTCATATTTTTTATTTCGGTTTATCTCACATAATTTATCATTTTTTTAGAAATACTCAATTCGTCCCATATCTATATATTTATTTGTTTTTTTACGGAGTTTTAGAAATATTAGTATTATATTGGGATAAAGTAGAAATAAAAGTAAAAAGTCTAAATTAACATATTAGTATTGTATGGTATAAAGGTAATGATATTTGTGTAATATATTGTAAATTGAAAGGGTATTTGTAATATTAAGTAGATAGTTCAATTACTTAAAAAAAGAAATAGATACTTTGTTACGAGACAGACCAAAATGAAAAAATGGATAGATTGTTAAAGGACGGAGGGAGTATAAGAGATTGTGTTAAATAAAAAATATCTATTGTCTGGATATATATTATATACGTTGATTGAGGCAAATTAGATGATTTGTTTAAATTAAATTCGCATGCATGTAACCTTTTCATATACTTTCTTCATCCCAAATCAAAGTATTTATTTATTTATTTATTTTTTTATCATTTTTGTTAATATCATTTAAAAGTATTTATTTATTTTTTAGTAAAAAGTAATTATACGCTGATACTAAAATACTTTTTAATTTTTATCTAAATTATAAACATACTATTGCACGTACAATTATTTTATATATTGATAAAAATATCAAAACCTCTTACACATTTTTATTAACCAATAAAATATTATTATTTATTAATCAACTATAAAACCCGGTAGAGTACATTCCGGCAGGGTAAGAGGGAGAGTATATAATTATGGAGTAAGAATCATATTTTATAATACATTTTGTACAAATAATTTTTAATTTTTTATATTACAGTAAGGGTGTGTTTCTTTAATCCCAAACCTCAAATTTTTACTATTTAAATTTTGCGATTCTCGAAAAAAAATATAAATTTTCTTTCACAAAACATCCCATCATACATTATTTTAATCTAAATTCAAACCAAAGTTTTTCAAACCACGTCAAAAGAAACATACCCTTAATAATAAATATATAATATATATCATTGTGTAAAGAATAAAATTTTATATAATATAATTAAATAAAAAATATAAATATTTATATATAATTAACACAAATTAATGCTCAAATTATACTATTCTTTATTCCATAAAATTTAATTCAATACATATTTTATATCATTATTTTTTTACCTATCAAATTTAATACACATCAAAACCCTCAAACTCAAACCAAATCTATAAATCAAAAGAAATACCCCATCTGTCAATCTATACTCACTTTTCTTTTTGGATTGTCATCGAAAAATATTCGAATTTCCTTTTTAAGTAAAAAATCATTTCATTTTTGTACTGTTTTTTACTATAAAAGGAAAAATTAACAATTATTGCTCACTTTTATTAAAATTCGTGCCTGATCAAATGAGCACATATTTGCACGATGGAAAGAGTATAAAATTTCAAACTCAATCTAAAATTCAAATCCAATATAAACTCAAACCTAATTTTTTCAAACTTACACAAAAGAAACACACCCTAAATTTCCTTTGTCTTTCTTAATCTCCTAGTGTTGCACATGCTATTTGAATATGTGGTGACCATTTTAGCCACAACTAAATTTATATAGTTGTAAGGGCTGATTTTGTTGGGTGAATTTAAATTTGATAGTAAATTCTAAATGAATAAAATTTTAATTAGTTTAGATTTTAAATACTCTAGAACTACTAAATTAATTATTTATTATTATAAAGTACTCCCTCCGTCGTTCAAATGTATGTTCATTTGACTGGGTACGAGTTTT